ATATCTATACGCTCTGTATGCCGCCTCACTCATCTCACCTACTCCAGCCTCTTGACGTTGGCTGCTTCTCGCCATTAAAGCGCGCGTACAGCCGTGAGGTGGAGAGCCTGATACGCAACCACATCAACCATATCACCAAGCTTGAGTTTCTGCCAGCGTTCAAGGTAGCCTTCGATCGATCCTTCACGGCAGCCAATATCTGCTCAGCCTTTCAAGGCGCAGGCCTTGTTCCTTTCCAGCCAGACACTGTTCTATCAAAGCTTGACGTACAGCTGCGTACGCCTACTCCAGTAGCTGCTCTTGCAGAGGCCGTCTGGCAGGCTCGTACCCCAAGCAACGTACGCGAGCTTGAAGCCCAATCAACGCTAATACGTGATCGGGTCCAGCGGCATAAGAGCTCGTCACCAGCGTCAATTATTGCGGCGATTAGCCAGCTTAAGAAGGGGGCAGAGAGAATAATGCTCTCGGCTGAGCTAATGCGCGATCGGATCGCCAGCCTTGAGAGGGCTAACGAGGCAGCAACAAAGCGTAGGCAGCGTAAAAGAAAGCGGATACAGAAGCATGGAGTGCTAACAAAGGGAGCTGGAGAGGATCTACTTGCTCAGCGTGAGGCTGATCAGCAGATTGCTCATGAAGAGCGTCAGGGAGGAGAGCGATCAGGTGTCAGCCGCCAGGCTTTGGCGCGCTGCAGTAGGTGTAGAGAAACTGGCCACAACTCGCGTACGTGCAAGAAAGATACTCTAGGTACTGCTTAATCTATTATATTAATATACAGTAAAACAACTATATTGTGGTGGAACTACAGGCTTATAGAGGTGCGCAGGTTTGGTGGGGTGCGGCGCTCGCTTGTACGCGGCGCTCGCTTGTAAAACACGTTACCGGATATTGTGAGCGGACGATTGATTCAATGATGGCAATAAGGGGGTGCAGCGCATGGGTTGTGCGCCGGTCATCATCTGCAAGCCGAGTTGGGTGGAGTATGTACATTAGGGGTACAAGGACCATGGCCAAGAGTCAGGCTTTCGGTACGCGACAAGAGTCAGTGGGTGGGTGTGGGTATGGGTATGTGATTGGGGGGCCGTTGGAAAAGGCGTTATTTCGGCGAAGCGTGGGACAAGGGTTTTTGTCAAGTATGTGTTTTAGCGTGCATGGGGGATATGTGCCGATTGATTTGCAGGCCATGTTATCGCACCGAATGGAGGTACTTGGACTTGGATGGAATTGCAACACATGAAGTAAATCTATTTTGCTTGGTATCTGCTTGGTTTTGCGTAAACGGTATTGGTATCGGGGGGCTCCTAGAGGCAAAGAGAAACTGAAAACAAAAGAAAAAAAACCAAGGGTGCGCTGGTTAGACCTGCCATACGCATCTGCCCCGTTCCAACGTGATTGCTAGAATCACTGTCATGCAAAATTGCCCTTGGATAAGTGAAGAAAAAAAAAAGCCATAGACGCCCGTCCAATTCATAGCCGGTGACTTTGTGCCCCTGTCAACGCCGTAATCATCTGTCCTTTTGCGTGTTGGGCCAATAAGTGTGCTCGTGATGAAATCTAATATGTACATGGTGGGTTACCGGTGGGTTGCTCTGACGGGTTCAAAGGCTGTTTGTGGAGCATAGTAGATATTTCGATGTTCTCGGTCTTTGAGACAAACACCTTCTCGCCCAACCTTTTGCTGCAGATAGTGGAGGCGGTCCTTGTCGTCTTCGTCAAAAGCAAAGGCGCCACTCCAGAATCCACAGTCAATGTTGGTGGTTTCGTTTCGATCGTAGACTTGGGTTTGGGCGGCGCGGTCTACTGGAGGCAGATCGTGCATCTCGCCGGCGAGGGCGCCAATCATGTCGATTTCGCTGAGACCAGGCATATGATGGAAGAGCTCCGAGTTCAGTGTCCAGCAGCGCAGGCCAGGGCTGGGGTATTTGCTTCGCTGTTTGGGATCGAGGGGATTCTTGGGCTTCTGCCAGTCGGGCGTAGGTGAGGGCGTGTTTTCGCCCTTGTTGCACGAGTGCAGGAGGGCAACGTCAAAGGCGCGCGGGCCGCCCTTTCTGAGCTTGGGCGGGGCGAGATCGTTGAGCAGGCGCTCGGCAGCGAGGCGGTTTACGGCGTATCCAAAGGAGCAGAGGGGTAGTTTTGAACGGTGCATCACGCGGGTTCGCTCGGGCATGCCCAGGAGGCGGAAGAGAGACTGGGTAAACGGATGCAGGTCCAGCCATGGCGGAAGCGTAGGGTCGTGGTAGAGCTTATGGGGAGTTGTGCTCAGGTTGTACGACTGACGATCCGTCTTGGGGCCGTTCTTTTCGATGACGTCAAAGTAGTCGCCGCAGTGGCCGAGATAGAGAACATCCCATGCTTCGTGGTCGCCCCAGTACTGCGAGTGGTTGGCGTTGCGGCTAGCGTGGGGCTGGCGTGAGCGAGCTGGCGGAAGAAGCTGGCGGGTGACGCTTGCAGCCAGCGGGATCTGGATGCTGCGCAGGCGAATGTCCCAGTCGACGTCGTCTTCGAGGATGAGGGCCGTCTCCAGATCCGAATCCAGGAACCTGGGGGCGCGAATCAGCAGGCAGGTCAAGGGGCGGCAACTTGCATGCCAAGGCGGGTGGGCGATGGCGATGGAGTTGATGGCAATGGGGCTTACTTACCAGCGCAGGGCGTTGTGATGGCCCAGCCAGCCGAGAACAGAGCCCTTTTGGGCGTCGGGCTGGCCGTTGATGAAGCGCTGGATGTCGCCCTCTGTCCACTCGGGCTGGGCGGGGATGGTGAGGTCAAAGTCGGTGACGTTGGCGGCCTGGATCAGGCGGTGTCGACGGGAGGAACCTTCCTTGGAGACGACTACCACGGCGCCGAAACCTAAAGTTCTGTTTGTTGGAAGCTTGGTGGGGCGCGACTCGACCGACGACAGCCATTGGGTATATATGTGGTGTGTGTCTCTGCTGTGGTAGCAGATGGCGGCGAGGGCCAGCAGGACGAGCAGCAGCAGCGGCGCGGGGCGCTTTCTCGAGGCAAGCATAGTTGGTGAGTGGAGTAACGAGATGGGTGCAAAGTTATGAAGCGAGTGTGGTGCTAGACATGTCCGCGAGGAGAGGAGGCAGGGGAGAGAAGAGGGGGGTGATGGGGAAGAGGCGCTGGGGTCACCGCGCGGTGACGGGCGTGAGTGATGGTGTCGCTGGAGGCAGAGGCAGAGGCAGAGGCAGAGGCAGGAGCCTATCTCAGTTGCCTTGTCTTGTCGCACGAAACGGCGGGCGCAATGCGGGTGCTAGACGGGGGGCGAGGGCGGCACAGACGCGGTTTCTGGTAGCCTCTGTGTCAGGCTACCACTACTTTAGATTACCATGCACGCCGGCGGCATGGGCGTCATTTGGCAGCAGACGTGGACGGGCACTGGGGGCCGTGTGTCCTTGCACGCCCATGGCACGGCATGGCCCACCAGGCGCCTTGGGGGAGTTGGGGGGTCGTGAATGTGAAGCAGTGCTGAGGGGCCCCCTGCTGGCGTGGCGGTTTCTTTTGTCGTCGTGTCGTGTGGGCGCGGGCGCGGTACTTGAGGGCGACGGGCCGCCGCCGGAGATGGAGATGATGACGATGATGACGATGGTGACGATGGAGTGGCGGGCGGCTGTGGTGGACTGGCGACGGGGTGCATGCAAGTGTGTATTACATACATTGGCGTAGTACGTACAGCGAATACTATACTTACGACATACGACATACGACACACCGGCCAGGCAGACGGCGGGCACGTGCATGGCCTCGCCCGCGAACGCGCTAACAGTAGTAGCAGCAGCAGTAGCAGCAGCAGCCAGCCTATATGCGCCTCACTGCACGACGCCTCGACTGCCACAATGACCTATATTGCCACAACCGCCTCCGACGACAATGGCCGCCGCCGCGACACCGCAGCGCATTGCCTTGTCGCGCCAGCCCGCGCAAATACACATGCTCTCCCGCGACACGCTGGCCGGCTCCGCAGGTCCCGCAGCGCTGCGACTAGCTCACGGCATCCATGGCTGCCTGCCGTAGTCTGTGACACGCTGCGCCCTGAAACTAGGCGTGGAGCCGGCTTGCTCGTCCTCCGCATCTCACCCTGACCTTCACCACCACCACCACCGCTATCGCCTCCACGGCCGCCATCACCACCACCACCACCACCGCTGCCACCGCTGCCACAGCAACACCCACCACGCCCCCCCCGAGTCGCCGCCGCCCGCCCGCATCGCACCACATGCCCCGCCATCCGCTGCGCCAAGAGTAATGGCCACGCTGGCTTCGCCCTCCTCGTCGTCGCCCTCTTCGCCCTCGAGGACCATGCGCCGCCGCTCCTGGGCCCGCAAGGTCGAGCGCTACTGCTGCGTCGCCGTCACCTACTTTCCCCTCTTCTTTGTCTACGGCCTCACCTCGTGGGCCGTCTGGGTGCAGGCCGGCATCGGCTTCGCCCCGTCGCACAATGCCTGGACCGGTGCGTCTCCTTTCTGCTCGCATGCCCGGCACCGCCCTCGCCGCGTCGCGCCCGTCTTACGCCAGCCTCGCCTGCAACTGCCCCCGCTGACACGCCCCGCTAGGAAAGCTCTCGTCCGCTCTCGGCGTCTTCCTCTACCTCATGCTCAACTGGAGCTACACAGCCGCCGTCTTCACCGACCCCGGCTCGCCGCTGAGCCTCAAGGACGGCTACAGCCATCTGCCCTCGCAGGAGGGCGGAGAGCTGCACTACACGTCCTTCACCGTAAAGGCCTCGACGGGTGAACTGCGCTTCTGCAACAAGTGCCAGACAAAGAAGCCCGACCGCTCCCACCACTGCTCCACGTGCAAGCGCTGCGTCCTGAAAATGGACCACCACTGCCCCTGGCTCGCCACCTGCGTCGGCCTCCGCAACTACAAGGCCTTTGTGCTCTTTCTCCTCTACCTGAGCTTCTTCTGCTGGACCTGCTTTGCCACGTCGGCCACGTGGGTCTGGAGCGAGGTGCTCAGCGACGGCCAGTACACCGAGTCCTTTATGCCCGTCAACTACGTCCTCCTCGCCGTGCTGTCCGGAATCATTGGCATTGTGATTACAGGATTCACCGCGTGGCACTTGTGGCTGACAGTCAAGGGCCAGACCACGATAGAAAGTTTGGAAAAGACACGCTACCTGTCTCCCCTGCGAAACACGATGAAACACCAGCTCAATGACCGCAATTATGTCGAGGACCAGGCCAATGGCCGATTGAGCATGGGCGACCACTTGCGCGAGATCCACGCAAACGCTCTGCCCGGCGTCACCCGACCTGAAGAAGGTATTCCCTCGCGCTCTACCTCGCGCTCCCCAGTTCCTGGCCATGCAAACGGCTACTCGCACCCCCACTACCAGACATACGAATACCGAGAACGCCAGCAGTACCAGGATCGTTACGATAACTATCTGGACGAGCGCGACAATGAGCAACTCCCCAACGCATTCGACCTTGGCTGGCGGCGCAATCTTGGCCATGTCTTTGGCCCTTCACCCATGAAATGGATGGTGCCCATACACAGCACAACAGGAGATGGCTGGTCGTGGGAGGCTAGCCCAAAGTGGTTGGCTGTTCGAGAGCGCATACGGCAGGAGAGACTGCGGGAAGAACAATTGCAAAAGCAGCGTGAGCGCGCTGCAGGTTGGGGCGTCGATTCTCCTACTGAAGCTGAATTTAGGCGCCCCACTCGCGGTCCCGAGGGATGGATGCCCGGCCAACGCGCTCAGCCTGCCCCGCGAGCCATAAAACGCCCCGAGTGGCAGACAGCCGTTAGCCACGGCGACCAGACTCAGTATCTCACCACCTCCAATGGTGTTGTAAGGGGTCCTATTGGTGGCCGGAGAAGCCCGAGCAAAGCAGATCAGATCCTAGGAAGGGAACGCGGCATGTACGCAGACGGCGACGTGCAGCTTCAGCCAATCGACCGCCGAAAACTCGACCCATACAACTACATTTCCGAAGATGACGATGACTACGAAGTCTCCAGCGACGAACAGGCTGTCGACCAGCGAAAAGATCAGCAAAAGGCCCAGCAAAAGGCCCAGCGGGTACAAACCGTAGCCGCGCCACCCAAGGGAACATCGAATTGGAACGACATACCCGAAGGTTTCTTAGATCCTGTCCCCAAGGGCAAGAAGAGTATCAGCCAACAACATGACGCATCCAAAAAGAAGGGAGATTGGGATGACTGGGCTGCATAGTATAATATGACTGGCGAATGGCTAACGATATGAAAGCATGTCGATCTGTAAATGTAATGTTGCATAGCATGAGCATGGGCTCCGGCGTTTTGCATGGGATTAAAATGTCTGGCTTGTACTTTATGGTGAAAAATGTACTTTTACCTGGTGCTTTGATTTGGAAGACGTAGGGTGGTGTGAAGAATCGAGTAGAATTCATTAAATATCTCAAACTAGGTGGGCATGGCAAGTGGAGGATGGGCTGGGAAATTTCAATCCATCACCATCCGAACGATATATGCCCAAGTTCCACAACAATCAGTCTGGAAGCATTGTAAAAAAAAAGCCACTGGTGTGTGATGAGGGTGGATTCCGTCTCCCTATTCTTCACATGATTCTCCCACCAACCAGTCTCTCTTTGTATCCCACAAATCTCTTCTCCGTGATACAAGTTTTCTTGTGCACAAAGTTTGCTGCAATTCTCCCTCACACCACCTGCACCCACCATGCATATACATGCACAATCATTCGCAACCCCGCTCTCTCCCTCTCACCGTACCACCGACGCAGCAAACATTCTCCAAACCCCATCCCCCTTTCCCAAAATCCACACTCTTCTTCCTTGCCCCGATACTGCCTAACATCTTTTCTCTCTACGTGATTGCAACACCTCTATTGTTTCCATACGGAATTTCGAAGACGAGGAGTGGAAAAAAAGGGGGGAGGGGGAAATAATAATGGATTCTTTCCCATCGACGTTCTCGGATCAAAATATACGCTCGAATGAGTCACTGCCGCTGAATATCCGTGGGGAAGACGAGGTTGAGTGGAGGTATTTGAGTGAGTTGATTGAAGGTATGTGTCTGCTATTTCTACCTCTCTTGCGATACTGTATGCATGCAGGATGAACTACTCACACTGACGTTGGTTACTGACTGACTGACTGACTGACTTGACTCGCGAAAAACAGCACAAGCATGGATCTTGTACCCGTTAAAACCCGTTTCTTGTATTGTGGGTAGACATCCACCGCCTAGGAAATCTCATTCTACTTCCATTTCCATATCTACTTCTATCTCGGCTTCTACCTCCGCCCCGCCTTCATCCCAGCACAAACACACCCACAACAAACAACAACAGCAACAACAACAGGCATACAACCCCTCAAACGCCTTCTGCGCTTCCCTCTATACCATTACAAAAGGCGGTCTGTGCACACTGCAGCTTGGGCCTGAAGTCGGTACGTCGAGGAAAGATGTACTGGGGAAATTGCTGTATACAGTGGAGATGGAGGTGGGCAGGTTGATGCTGAATGATGGGTATCATCGTAGTCGGGCGGCGGCTGGGACGGTGAAGGAGAAGGAGAGGGGTGGTGGGGAGGAGGGTGAGTAAGTCAGTGAGAAGGATTCACGGTACGATATGCTTTGTGTTTAGCCGAGGAGGTGATAGTATGCAAAACGTCAAGAAGTTTGACATATGAAATACATTGTTTCTGCGTGATGCCGAGCTGAAATGTGCTTGTCTGGTCTAGCAAGCAAGGGAGCAAGCAAGTACCTACCATCATTCCATATAACTAAAGTACTCAACTGCAAGAAAAAGTCCCCATCCTATCACCTACACTCGATTCTACATTATGAATCCGCCTTACGACCCCGCAACCGATATCCAACGCATCGCTGACCTAGACGCTGCAGTGAGCTTTCTGAAAAGTTAACATTTCCATGCATCCCTCCTCCTCCTCCTCCTCCTCCTCTCTCCTCACAACATCTACCTCACAACATCTACTAACTCCCGCCGCAACAGCACTCGCACACTCCGTCTTCCGCGTAGAAACCCGCGTCATACTAGGAAGCTACAGCAACATGATGCTGGGATCAGAGTACTGCCGCGCAAGTCTCGTTGGGTGGATACCCGATACAAGGGGTAGTGGTGGGAGTGAAATACTCATGGTGCAGCCCGAGGCAGGCCGAACGTTGATGGAGGCGGTGATGCGTATGATTAAGACGTTGGAGAGGATGGGGTATACGAAGATGGATCGGCTGGATGTCTATGTGGAGGATTGATATTTTTGCGCGGGTTACTACTATAATATGGCTTTGGGGGGGGGGAGTGAAGTAGCGATCAAATATCATGGATTTTCTCACAACCTCGCTTTATCATCCAACAACGACATGCCGACCGCCTGCTCCAACTCCCTCACTGCATCCTTCGTTTTCCCCAGATTCACCTTGATCGTGCGCAGCCCCGTCTTCCGCGCAAACTTCAAGTTGATCCCAATATCATCTAGAAACAGCGTGTCGGCCTCCGTCACCGCGCCCATACCCCTCGCCCGCGCTATCTTATCCATTTCCCTCACCGCCAGCTTGTACGCCTCTGGATCTGGCTTCCGCACGCCGACCGCCGCAGAGCCGAGGAAGATGTCAAAGCACGTTGTGATGTCGCCCGAGTCGTTGGCGTAGGGATTCGGCGCCGGCGCGTGGATAATATCTTTTGTAAAGACATTGCCTTCGTCGTCGAGAATGCCCGTGGGAAACGTGACGTTGTTGCTGAAAGCGCCCAGCACGAATTTGCCACTTGCGCCGAGCTTGCGGAGCGCAGGGTACATGTATGGATCTGGGGCGCGGCTCATCTTCATCATGCGCCAGAAGAGCTTCTTTGCGTCGATGTCGGGGACCGCTGGGTTTCGCCCCGCAAGCACCTGGTCTGCATCTTTCTTTTGCGCCTGTTTCTGCAGGTATTCAGACCATACTTCGGGCCGGGAGAGCTGCTGCTTAAACGAGGCGAACCACGCGTCGTTGAGCTCGACTTCGCCCCGCTCAATGAGCTGCCATGCGCCTGTATCGTGGGGTCCTTTTTGGATCGCAAAGTTGATGTAGCCAATGGGGATTTTATTCTCGATTTCGTAGTCGAGGATTGCCTGGAACGGGCTGACGACCTGGAATTAAGAGTGTGGAAGTCAGTCATGTGCATCGCATAGGTATGCTGGTTGTTGATTGAGACGGGCGTTTGCTTACTACTACTCCGCCGATATCAAAGAGTATTGCCTTTGGCGGTTTGAACGAGGATGCCATGGTGATTGAGAGGCGACGAAAAGGCTGGATTTGCTACAGCAATATCATGGCGGTTTCAAGGGCGCCATGGTGGTGGCTAGAGGTGAAGGTCAGACAGATACCTCGGCAACGGATAAGCTTCCCTGAACGGCGTTAAGCGGATTGCCGTTAGCGTCGGGTGGGGTGCAGCTTGCACACACACATCACATTGATCAGCAAACTCTTGTCAACTACACATGGCGGTTCCTAGTTTATTATCACACAAGTAAGATGATATAGGTAATAAGGTGTTTATACTGCGCTCTCATTGCTACATAATGTACTTCTTCAATGACCTGACATCGCAAAAGCTAACCGGCTAGAAACTACGACTACCTTCGGTACTCAGATCGTTTGGATCAACCTTTCTGCCATACGGGTCATGTCGCGCATCCCATTCGCCAACCTCGCTATTTGGCACCTTGACAAGCACATGCGTTTGCGCTCCATCCCCGAGATCAAGAACCTCTTGCCGAACCTTGTAGCCTTTGAGCTTAGGCAGCCAAATGATCCAGGTGCAGTAGTACAGCCCGCAGATAATGAGTATCCCGATCCCAACAACAATATAAGTGCCGTACCAGAAACTGACATCTCCGCCTTTCGCTCCGCCAGTGGGCGGATACCACGGCATGATGATCAGGTAGAGCTGGACCAAGATGTTGAAAATGAGTACGACGTGCCAAACCTGGAATGCTGGCTTGGGCAGTCCCAGCCGATTGCGACGGTACCGTAGCACGTAGAGCCCGGCGGCCATGAGGAGATTGAAACAGGCCGAGGGGTATACTTGAAGGTCGGTAATGAACGAGAACGCGTCACCCGCTGGTACTGCCAGGATCACGAGAACAGTGAGGGCCCATTTGGTAAAGTATGGTCCGATTGGCGTACCGAATGGCTTGGTTGATGCCCAGAACTGTGGCCAGGGAAGCACGCCTTGTCGACCGCATTCTCTGATCAATCGCGAAGAGCCCAGAAGGACGGCAATGAGATTGCCAAATGAGCTGAGTGCAATGAGAAAGTTGAGGCCACGAACAGCACCGTGGTCCCCAAACACCTTTGTGAAAAGGAGACCAGCGGCAATTGTCTTCCCGGCCAGAATCTCGTCCTTGGGAATCGCGGCGAAATACGCGACATTGGCCAGGATGTACAAAATGGCGACGAGCAGCACTGCACCGAATCCATTGTTTCGGATGCTCTTGACAGGGTTCTTGACCTCGTTGACGACATTAAATGCATTTTCATACCCAGCATCTGCATCATCTGTTAGTCGGTATCGCGGCTAAACCTCGTGGTATACTTGCACGCAAAGATGATCTTGTACATGGCATTCGTGACACCATATGCTGATGGGCTGCCGTCGAAAGCATCCTTAAATCGGGCGGAAGGGTCCTTGACCTTGGTGTGTCCACCCAGTACCACCAACCCGAGGATACTGATGAATATTAACGTTACAAGTTTGACCGCGCCGATCGCGTTGCTGATCCAGTAAGATGCCCTGGTGTGGAACAGGACGACCAACACCGAGGCCGTGTAGCACGCGACGGCAAGGCCCTTTGTTTCCCACGCCTTGGCGTTGTAGTCTCCGATTTTGTACAGGTAGTTGGCCATGACTACTGCATTTCCAGAGCTAAAAGACAAGATGACAGATTGTATTGCAAAGGTGGTTGGGAAAAGCCACTTGGGCCGCGGGAATGCCTGTTCGAGATACGCGACTTCGGAGCCCGAGCGAGACGGAAAGTACGCTGCGTATTCTAGATAAACGGAGAGCGAAGAGACGGACGTGAAGAAGCCAATGGTCCAGAAAATCAGACTGAGCCCAACCGAGCCTGTGCCTTTGAGAATCGCCGCGGCTACCATCCACTGTTAGCTTATCCGATTCTGCGTGAAGCATATACAACATACGCGTCGAGAAGATTCCTAGGATTGATTAGCAAAGACCAAGAGTTCACCGCTCGGAACTACATACCCGTGCCGACCATCTTCGACAAGTTCAAGAACAAAATCGTGATAGGTCCAACGTTGTATCCCAACGGCGAAATCGTCTCGACAGGGGCTCCGCTCGCCTCTTGGTACGCAACATCAGCAGTGTTGCCGCCCTGCTCGCCGATATATTTGAGGTCTCCATCCGTGACTTCGACATTGCCCGTAGCCGTCACCGCCTCAACCGTCGAAACCGGGCGATCCGCGCTTTTATCATTTCTGTAGCGATTCCTGAAGAGCGCGGACATTGCGAAATATAAAAACTAGGCTTCTGGACGAGCGCGCGCGCCACAATATGGCATGGAGGAGGCCCCGGATACCGTATAGTAATTATCAGCACACGACAGTGGCGCTGAATATATGTTTTACACTGTAGCGATATATTGTGCCCATCGCACGTCATCCTACAACGAGCCTGTCAAGCTCTGCTGCGTTATCTGCACCGTCGACTCTAAACCTATTGCATTACCATAAGCCGAGCACGCAAACCATGGAAAATGGCGACATCACAGGGGTACCTGGAGAGACCATAGTGTCGGGCCGTGGCTTTGCCGCGTACGGTGTGGCACACACTCTGTATTTTCCTTAAAGGTTCGGATTGCTACAACAGAGTGCAGACTGACGTGCTTCATGCTAACGAAGCATAAAACGCGGCCTTGGGCTCGATGCCGGCGCTCACGTCTTTTTGGGGCTTGCTCCGCTAGTCTTGCAGCTTTCTTGCCACCTGCAAGGACAGACGGAGAGTGGTCATGTAGAGATAGATGTGCGAGGACTACAGTCTTCTCGTTGGACGCTATAGCATAGCACGAGGCCATGATTCAGTAGCAAATAGCTGCTAACGACTCGGTGTGTCTTTCCAAGTGCTCACAAGTACACTCAAGTTCGAAAATTGCCTTTCAGTTACTAGAACCGATTCCTATTGCAAAATTTACAGTATATGGGCTCAATTTATAGACTTCTATCTACTCGAGTGGCTTGCTTCTCCCTCCACTGGCACTCCGAATTGTCGGCTCAAGCGGGAACACAGAATTCTCAGGCTTCACGTGGTCATAAATTGCCCACCTTGATTTCAGCGCCTCGGGCGTAGGCCAAGCGTGTTCAGGATCGCGAAGCCAAAGGCGAATCAGGTGACGTCTAGAGGGGCATTAGAGCGGAATTTGGCAAATACAGATGCGGAAATACCTACTGTTGCTCCGGAGTGTTCTTGAATCCGTCGCGAGCGTGGAAAATGCTCAAGTTGTTGGCATATTGCACGTCGCCTTTTCGAAAGCCAAGAGAGACAGCGTGCTTCTCGGCGAGGAAATGCAGAGCATCGAGTGCTTCGGCTTGGGCTTCGGTAATGGGTGGCACGTCAGAGGATCTCGGCAGGCCCCAATAGCCTGTGAAAGTCCTCCGCGCGTACTGGATGATCAGTCTCTCAGGGGTAGACTCGGTCTTGGGCTGGTAGTGAAGCAATGGTCGCAGTGTATACTTGTCGCCCCTGCCACTGAAACTATCCACCAAAGTCAGCAGAAGCTCATTGCTATCAAACACTCAACGCACTTCTCGCTGGCCCAGGGTTCAGCCAGAGTCCGGATCAAATCTGGTCGCGTTCTCGCAAGCTCATTGTACACTGTCCATGAGCTGGACAATTTGCTTTCGCCACCCTCGGCGGCAGTCTCCAGACATGCCAAGGCAATCACATCGCCAGAGTCGGTATGGAATACCTGCTTGTCGGTCGTATAAGCAGGGGCTCCAATCTTGTTGGCATCCACAACGGAACTCAGGTCTTTAATGTGAGCTAGCACAACGTCGGCTGGCTTGCCCTGGTACTGGTAGTCCTGGCGTCCCCTGATTGGAGCGACGTGCGAAGAGACTCCCGCGTATATGATGATATTGTCCTCGCGGTCGTGTTTATCGAACGGCAGACCTCGAAGGACCTTGAAGCCACGTCGGTTATGGACTTCGTCGGAGATATTGCGCAGAGCGCTGTGGAGCTTTGGAAGCGGGAATGTGTCTTGGTTTACGAAGCCAAGCGGTTTCCCCAGAGCTATTATTGTGTCAGCATGCTGTTTATTTACCCCTCGAAATGACATACATTTGAAATGTTTTAGCGCATCTTCAATCTCCTCAAGCTCTTCTGCGTTGACTTCGTAGACAAAATTGTACTGGTCGCCAATGGTGCTTCCGTCCCATACTAGCTCCGACTTTAATTTGCGGGGAAACCCTTCTGGAAGCTGACTTGGGAGCTCTTCGGTAGCCTTTCGGTGGGCAACGCGTGCGAGATACTTGTCGAGATCAGGGGCATAACCAATATCAGGTTGGCCGGCTGGGCCGGTCCTTAACACTTGAGCAGTAGCCATAGCGAGCTTTGATATGCAATACCTGGTACATTTGAATAGTTTCGCCGACGAGGCTCAGCATAATAGATAAGGTGTTGTCGCGATGCACCTGGTCTCTCGCGTCAACGGCACGAACGAATGGGTGATGGGGCACCGATAGCGCAATTGAGCCGGCATCTTGCGTGAATGCGGGGCCAATAGTGTGATACCCTAGGTTCGGGCCGCATGTAGTAAGGGTTCAATGAACTATCCACATGATGCAGAACCGTCTTGTTTTCTAAAGTCCCACGGCATAGGGGTAACTGTGTACAAAGGAGCTTATATGGAGGGATGAATATCCTGGCCTATGCGCGAAGCTGAGAGTACGCGTAACACACCCCTCCCTATCTATTTTGTATCCCCGATTCTGCGTAACTGAAGGGGAATAAATGACTAAACATTATTTTCAAATTTAGGAAATGCGTACAGAAAGTGCTACATGAACTAAGCTTTTACACGATGAAACCATCCTTAGTAGTATCCTAGTTCATCTGGCATATCAGAGATACGATCTGAGAGGCGAATACTGCCTGCGACACGCGTCAACCGCAATCACCCTGACACCTAACAACACGTGGAATTTGCAGTCTCGTTTAAAACAGCTGCACCGAGCCCTGTCTATAGCGGAACGAGGGCGGCCATATCACCGGGCTCGGACATTGTTCCAGATGTCAACAAACGGCGAGCGCTATGGCATAAAACAGCACACAAGTATGCCAGCCGGTCATTAACTCAGGAATTAGATGAAGAGCACAGTCACACTATAGTGTCGGAAGAACAAAACAAGAGAAATATGTTGATTGTCCAAGTTCCAGAACAACCGTCCAAGCAATAGCACGAAGACAAAATAAATGAAAGTGAAAGACAGTTCCCAGACACCCCCTAATAACCTGTTTCGAAAAGGAGAGCCCTATCCGAGACACAGCAAACGCATGAAACACGGCACTAGGATCATTTCGCCCCCATAGCAGCACCCATGCCCCCCTACTTTGAACTCTTTGAGATCCCGAACAACCCACAGGCAACACGCTTCAAAGCCGCCAAAAAGCGTTTGGACAACCGGGTATCATCAGCCTCACGACGCAGCGTTTCCTGGTGCCCCTCATACATGTCCATGATGCGCGCCACAGCCCTACCATGGTACTGCAGCATCTCCGTGTGAATAAACATGTGGATGTATCCGCCGGTGGGCTGGACATTCAACAGATCAAATTTGGCAATGTTATATAGCACGGCACTGATCCACTCGGGGGTATGCAGAGTCCAGACGCTTTGCACGTCGAGCTCAGTAGCGGGCTCGGTGCGCAGGCGCGCTTTGATGTGGGCGCAAAGCGCATCGACTTCTGCGGTGTGCTCGGGGCCCAGGGCGCGGTACAGCGCGACGTCGTCGCTGATGGTTCGACGGGGAGAGACGGGCTGCGGCTTGGATATTTGCTTGGGCATGTTTGCTGCTTGTCACACGTGATGACGAATGACAGATACCTTTACGAAAGGGGATGTGGATATAGGACTTGGATGCACGGGGGCTTAGTATGCAAGGTTGTATATCGAGGCAGGGAAGAGTAGACCTTCGATGGAAAATTTTCTTTTATACTGGCTAGGCGTTTTTCACGCGTACCTCTGCGTGAAGATGTGTGCGGTGAAGAGTGTTGAGCCGAAAGTAAGTAGGCAGTGTTCCCGTGAAAGACGGGGGAGAGAAAATCTGCAAAATCTCCCGGACACAAGAACATCAACTACCTCGACCAGATTTGAAATGTCCGTCATGCCCGTTTACTTTACCATAGAGGGTACGTTTGGTGCTTATAATGTTTGCATGGGTATATTGTTGGGATATATTGTTTCGGGCTGTGGATTTTCGCTAGACTCGTCCTGAGAGGTATTCGGGCTGAATCAAAGGCCCCAAGTCATCTCATAGGCGAAAACAGTGCGGCGAAGAAGCTCGTCCTGGATGTTGTTAGCAATGCTGTGGACCATAAGGATTCTCCTGGCTTACACCCGGGTCTTCTTCAAACATGACCTTATCCATGACCTTTTCAAACATCTTCGTGACGGTGAACTCCGCATCTCTGGCTAGATCAAAGAATGCCATGTCCTTTTCATACAGCCAAGGGCGATAGGGAGAAAAGAAGACGTAGGTTCTAGAGGCGGGCGACTTTTTCATCATCAGCTCCACCGTCTTGATGAGTTTTGTGTGTTCCGAGTGGTTGAAAAGCAGATCGGCCAGTATGAGAACATCAAAGCCATTGTCGCCATCCAAATGCTTTGTTAGGTCCTCGGTAGATGCACCCCATAGATAACCCTAGGAGAATATTAGTGACGTCCCTGACGCTGACACGGCCACAAACCTCAGCTACGATTTTGGGTGGCTTAGGGAGCAGCTCGCAGTGTTCTATGTTGTAGCGTAGGTTCTCAATCAGCTCGGCATCGGGATAGTCAGTGACGACGGTTTGAGCAGCACCGTTAAGGGCGCAGACGAGGCTGGGCAGTCCCGCTCCAGCACCGAGCTCCAGTACCGTTCGGCCTTTGACGAGTTCGTCTGCATGTTCCTCAAGAAATGTGGAGATGGTTCGTCCCGCATTCCAAAGAAAGTGACCCTGAATACGTCAGTGACCATTTTGGAAACAACGCGGGGTAGCCGCAGCTGTAAGGCTGGCTGGAAAAGCGGAGAATTTCCCCAGAGGTTCCCGTGTCGCCACCCGTGGCGAGCAAAGGCTCTTACTCTGACCCGGAATCTCAACAGGTGAATGGAGTCTTACCCACAAAGGGTTGTGTCCCACCAATCGGACAGTGAGGTCTTTGCCAGAGAGCAACTGGTGCGAAGCAGACGTCGCCTGTTTCTCTGGCTGGTAGAAATCTGCCGGCTCTTGGAAGAGGTCCAGGCCCTCGTCTCCGCCCTCTGAGTCCATGGCGAAGGAAATGCGTGACGAGATGGATGTCTTGGCCGATGGTCGAAATTCGGGTAATGCAAGACATGCGCCACAGTCACGCGCACGTGCGGCACCAGCCACCGCTTTGCCTATCTGGGCAGCTTTCCAGAAATCCATAGGCTCGACTGATTCTGGACTGCCAGCGTGCCATCGTCGTCGTCGCCGTCACCGAGCGAGGGCACCCCAGAACACATCGCACCATCCTTGCACCACCGGAAAGATCTGACTGTCAGCTTGCGCTGTTGCAGCAGTCAGTGTCACACTAGCCCTATGGCCAGTTTGGGGCTGCTGGAATAGCGCGGACAGGCCGGCGCCACGATGTCCGCACGCGCTGCAACCCCCAACTCGAGGACATCCCTTCCGCCACCAGCGCTCTCGCGCACATGATCATTGCGGTACTCACGCACACGGACACAGTCAAGCCAGTGCAGAAATGCGCTCAGTCTACACCTATAGTATCGCCTCTGCCTCCGCGTCTCCGCGTTTTAGTCTCATATCCAGCCGCCGCCGCGACTTTGTTTCCACGGCCCCGCCAGCAACCTCGACCGGCACCGACAGCCACGCTCCCACTCTCGTTGAGCACACGTCTTGCACGCGCCTCACTCTCCGGCTGCCTCCCTCTTACAGTATACGATTAGCTGACGGAACCGCTCGTCGGCTGGCCTTTCCCACACCTTCCCTATCTGCTACGTGAAGCAACTAAGGCATCTTAGTAAGAAACTTGCTCAACGCTAAGACACTAAACCTAATCCATCGCCCAACGACCCTCCCATCCATCCACTTCACCACAGTCCTTCGAGCGCCGACGAGAGATCTCCCGCGCCGTGACGCCCTGACCCCCGAGTTGTCCACTCGCGCAGCACACCAGCGAGCGAGGGCTGTATTTCTTCTGCCACTGGAGGCTTGGGCGCCCCACGCCACAGCCAGCCGCTGCCTCTGAGCACGTCGACCCTCTACAAACACCCTCTGCCGCGCCAATGCTTGTGAACACGCGCCTGCTCTCACCGATTCTGCTGGCTTTTTCTCGGTAGATTTGGCCCCGTTGTTCCGCCCCCGTCCGGTGTTGGCCGAGCGTACGATCCAGCCTTCGTCCTTTGCCTGCTCAAAATCGCGACTCCTGCATGAGGCACCGCTCGCACTTGTTCGTTGCTGGCGCTACTCCTCGGCTATTTCCAGGGTCGTTGACCTTCCGGCTATCTGGAGCAGGACCCTTCACAGGTCACACAGGCCAGGTCAGATTTGGCATCCAATCTACTTTCTCACATCTGGCAAGTTACAGCTCGTCACAGTCGAGCCCGCTGTCCATTTGCCCTAGTCAGCCAGGGGTCTCTTAGGCAAACTTCTTGGTCACATCCCACGCCACACGCCACCTTGCCCCTCTGTAGCCGTTTCCACGTGCTCAGTGTACCGGACGCCTGGACATTCGCTCTTCCCCATCCACCAGCAGCCTTTTGCTCTTTGATTTCCGATCCACGGCCCTACTCCAAATCACCTGCTGCAGGCTGAGCAAGCTGCTTCCGAGTCACCTAGCCCCGCATCATGTGGGCCGAAGTAAATGGAGAGCGTAAGAAGGTCGCCTGGTAAGTTATCGCAACTCAGTCTTTACACGGTATTGCCCTTTCCCCTTAGCAACCCGACTTGCATGGCCTATTGCGTGCTTGCAGCGCACCCTCAGAACCCCCCAATTATGCTCCGTCCGACCATACAGCCGCTGAGGACCCTTTTACCGTGTATATACTAACAACATGTAGCGGCCCGTGCATTCGCGGCCATCGTTCATCAAAATGCGACCATAGGGACCGGGTACTGGTTGAGGTTCGAAAGCCTGGTCGGCCGCTGAGCAGCTGCCCCCACCCGACTGGCTCTTGTAGTTGTGAGCGTGTTGTCATCAACTACACAATCCCCAAGGCCTCGCAATGCGCCTGTCCCTCCGAACGAGAAGCGCCAACAGCTACCGTTGTCGGAAACAGCCGAATATCAAAAGGCAGGCGCAAGTCTGTAGCAGTCAACCCCTTCTACTTGGAAAAAGCTGTCCGGGCCGGTCTAGACACTGAAACCGATGCCTCTTCGAATACGCAAACGCCCTCCGAGACAAGTGGTAGCAACGCCCCATCATTACCCTCAAGTGCAAGCTCAACACCGCGCTTGCTACCTGCGCAAAACGACTCTACTCCAAGCTGTTGTAAACCGAAACCGGTGCTTTCGCCAGTGCAGACGGGAGGATGTTGTGGCAACAAAACCAACCCAGTTCCAGAGCCACCAGTACAAAAGAAGTCTTGCTGTTCTGGCTCGTCCAAACAAGCACCCTCAAATTACCAGCCCAATGGTTTTCAACATATCGGACAACAGTTCCAGTTCCCAGCACAACCCCAAGGAATGATGCCACAGTTTCATATGTTCCACCCACAGGCCATACCAGCCACACCAAATCCGTTTGGCCTCGGCACCCCGATTTACAACCACGCAGCAGCGGCTTACCATCAAAGCAACGCCGTACCGATGAGCCCTACAGCGAATGGGCCCATGTCGCCGCATATAAATACACCCCCCATTGGTCAGCATGTTCCAGAACATAACTGCCACTGTGGTGAATCATGTAGCTGCTTCGGATGCGCGGCCCATCCAAACAATGCCACTATGATGGAGTATGTCAGAGTCATGGCTCACTTCCAATGCACTGGCGGATTTGGAGGAATGGTACCACCTCTTTACGACATGCCAACATACCCTCATCAAGCTGGATACGGCGCCGAAACAGGCCACCGAATGAATTACGGCTCCATTTCACAAAGCATAGCGACACCCACCCCAACACAAATGACCTTCCCGAGCAGTATGGATATGCCAGCTGAGCAAAATCAATCCATGCCGATGCATGGAAACTGGCAACAACCAATATCGGCCATACCCAATCTTTCCCAGGCTCCATTCTTGAGCAATATTGACTATACAGCCCCTGCCCCGGCAACCGAAAGCCAACCGCCCCTGAAGACCGAAGAAACCATGAGTTCACCCGTTGCGGACAGTCCCAGCGACAACAAAGACGAGGACACGCCTACACTTTCCCCATCATCCTACTTCTGGAACGAAATGACCCTGCCAGGCTGCTCAGACGCATCGGGTACCTGTCAATGCGGAGACGGCTGCGCATGTGTCGGCTGTCTGACGCACGGCGGCCACACGGGCGAGCGCCTAGACGACATGGCGGCACCCGAGCAAACCGCTTTTCCCAATTTCACCCTGGATCTCGGTCTCAACATGAACGATCCATCCGACTTTATCAACTTTACGCCTGCCGCAAGTTGATTACAATCGAGAGTCGCCTTTGCGTGGGGTAGAACTAGCGCATACATTAAGAAGATAGAGAAAAAAAAAGCCCATCTATCTATCACAGGAACAGCAAATTCTGCTGCCGCCCTTGCCTTTGTCTCCTACGGCTTACTTGCTTGCCTGCCGTCTCCCAATGACTTGCATTTCGCCACTTCCATCCCCCCCCCGGCTCGCCCAAAGAAAAGAAGAAGAATATCGGGGGCGTCTGCGCTGCAACATGGCCAAGGTGCAAATAACCGCATTGGCATCATCAGCACGTGGAAACGGGATTTTTCTTCATCAACCGTCGGGCGTCCAAGTTCAATCCTACACATCTCAATCCGGCACGAGGCTCCCCCCACTGTACGCCGCACAATATTCATGTTGGAACACGATTTTTCCGGTGGCTGTCTTTTTTTTTCCTGTCAAGGCATACTGACCTCTCATTGCTTGCTTGCTTGCCTGATTGCTTGTCCTTCCTGTATATTCTTTTCTTGTATCTCACACACTGTCCGCGGATGGCGCCTTGGGCATGCAGGACAGAAATGCGCATGATGTTCGTTTTGCATGTTGCGAGGCTGGCGGCCCATTTGGAGCCGTTATTGTTTTCTGCATGGTTTCATGATGATACGATACCCTGCGCGTGGGGCGCGAGATGAGGAAGAGCCGACAATGCTGCCAATATTCTTACGAATGCACGATTGTTATCTTCGGTCTAAAAAAAATCTTGATTGTTCACTTCATCCTTGTTCTTTTCTTCGTGATGCGAGTCGGTATTCTGGACTGAGAGTTTGTGTGAAGATGGCTGATCGTAACCATTCACTACATTGAAAGTCGCTTCAACAATCCGCACCCTACTAACCATCAGTGATCGAACGCCATCCACCGAACCCGAATCCCAAAACGGCCCATGCCAAACAGCTCGCTATCCACGTTCATGACGACCCACAGTACACTCTTGTAGAGAAGAGAACAAAGGCTATCTGCAAATATGAAGAGAAAGGAAAACACATATATCTGTAATGTTGTTGCAACAAGTTTGAACTCCTCCAAAAGATCCCGTCGAAATGTTCACTACACTCCCTCGCGGTTTTCGACATGATTGACAGTATGGATCAGAAATACTTGAGCCGGATCAGGGGCTCATCTGATAGCATAAAAGGTGAAACAAAACATGTCAAGAGAGCATGTGAGTCTGCGCGTGTACGAAGGCAAAGGAAGAGGCGGAAGATTGGGTCTGGTGTGTGAGGCACTGTTGGACACTGCTATCCATCCGAAAGCACAACGGTAAGATCTCCGTGCATGATAGCGGCCTGTAATCAAAAGTCAGTCCTGTGCAGAAAACAAGAGCAGGGTGACCTACTGTACAACCGCGATCTGGGTCTTCCCAGCACTGACCGCCCTCGCACCACTGGTTCGTGGCGCTCTTGTACCTGCACGCCGAAACGACGCCATCTCCAACAAAGGTAATGTCGTACCCGAGTCGCTCCTTTTTGCATAATTCGTTCTGCTTCAAGCTGGAAAAACCCTGTTGCGCAGGACCGTCGTCGAACGATGTACCGAAGACTGCGGGTGCCCAGTTACCCTTGCCTCCCATTTCTTTGCCCCAAGTACACGCCTCGTCTTCCGGCACGCCTTGCTTGTTGACATAGTATTGAGCGGATGTCTTTTTGCCTTGCCAGAAAAAATACTTCTGCTGGTCGGGGTTGGCTAAGAATCCTGTCTCGCCTGGTCCGACTGTGACGGGGAAAGTCATGGATTCCGTGCCTATCTACATTAGCAGTCATCTTCTAGTAATACACAAATGTTTACCTGGATAGTCGGTGCGACAGAATGAGACCGATTTCGAGAGCTTATTCTGTACTTTGACACCCATTCGTTTGGAGCCTTGCACACATAGTGTGTTGGCAATCTTGCCGTCGGCCATTTCGAAGTATCCGTCTTTGTTGCAGTACAGGCCACCGACAGTTTGGCCATGTTTTCCTTGAATTGAAGGAAATGACGCCTTGAGGTAGGGATTTGGACAGCCATACGAACAAAAGCTCCCTGGGGTGCAGCAGGTGCCGTCTGAGCATGAGCCTTTGACCACAGTCGTAATGTCGTCGAAGCCGTCTGATCCCACGTATTGCGGGTCCTGAATACCAGACCACCCACCTAGGCCTTCATGAGCGATAGGGAGTGCACCATACCCATGGGGAAACTCGGTACAAGCGATCTTGCCATCCGGGAACTCTCTGTCGCATTCGGCACAATAGCCATTCTCATCGACCATGTCAATCCAAGGGCGGGGTGATGCATCAGGCTGCTGTATGTTTGGCGCATCTGGAGGGTTCGGGGTGGCTAGTGGTGTCTCGGCCGCAGGCATCTCAGGCTGGGACTGGGGCGCATCGTCGGGCTCTTCGATGTGATATTCGATCTGCTCTGGCGCAGGCTCATGGCTGGAACTCGGTGGCGGAGTGGGCAATGCGACAGACGTATCGGTTGCGGATGACAAGACATTGTCCTGTCCCCACATCAAAGTGCCATTGGCGATACCCTCGCGAGCCTCTTCCTCTGATATGGCATGGTCCTCGAGCCAGTATACAATTTGCGTCTGAGTAGCGGCTGGAGCATACACAATGTCGCGCTTGACTGGGCCGTGAGCGTGAGCACGACGGTGCAGATGATGGGGCTTGGCCGATGTGACTGCAACAATCGCAGTGACAGTAATGACATGCTGAAGCTTCATTCTGGGATCTGACTTTTCTCAATACTTTTGCGGCCAAGTGGCTAACAGCTCCATCTATTGTTAGCTAGTGTTGCAAAGGAGTGGTGAATGCACCGACAAACCTCTTCTCTTCCTTGGAACCAGCAATTAACAGGCGCTTGCTTGTAACGACTTGTGCCTCGATACTTACAGCTTGTTTGCTTTTGAGCCCGCTTCGGATTGGCTGTGCAAGCGTGAAGTGTGGAAATATAACTGTAGTGCTTAAGGAGTGAAATGGAGATGATGCTCCAGGTGGGGAGACAAAAGAATGGCTATGGAGGGCTCGGCCGACAGTGCTGAATCGAAAGGTTATTTTCGGAGCAGGTCTTGTAGGAAGCTGTGAGTGGAAAGGCGAGGATGGGCGCCGTTTGTTTGTCTGCTCGTGCCAAGACAGCCTCGCTAGCGTGGCTACGCTGTTTGCACAGGAAGGAGCAACGAATTGGGACACGTGCTTGCGAATGTCCAGATCCACTGCAGCCAATAGGAAGCTGCGTATTGTACAAGCAGAAAGGAGCGTTGGGCGTGAGAGACGCTTGCAGAGCTCAGTCAGGCGATGGCTAAAGGACGGGTGTAGGAACGAGTAATGGGAAGACAACAGTCTGTTTAAAAACGCAGAGTAGGAGGAGATGGATTACAAAACCCTTCCCGGTCCAGAAGCCCCCCTAGGTGTAGCGAGCTGAGATGGTGACACAATTACATCAGGTACGTATTCGGACTATCAAGCTGTGCCACCACCGCGTATCTAGTTTATGGCTGCAAGGCCGTGTCAGCATAAACTCTAGCCCAATCGATGGCCACCAACAAGATAAGCACCATCAGCTCAGTGTTCTAGTACCGTGGCATAGAACGACTAGAAGTGTTTGCGCGGACCGGTCCTGCTGTCAACACAGTGTGGAACGTCGACCCCTGGCTAGAAGATAGCCAGCCACATGCGCTTTTATTCCACGAGCCTGGACCGTTGTACTCGCCATACCAACGCCTAATATATCCAGGATTTTCCTTGGTCTTGCATCAGCAGCTGGCTCTTTGCGATTCGGTGAGTGTTACATACGTCTATCTGTTAGACGAGAAATACGAATACGAGGCCGCTATGGCCTACGATGAACCTGGTCACATCCTTTGCTGCTCTGCGGCGGCAGCACTTCAGACAGGATTATCAGCTGCGAATAGAAAGGAAAATGATGGTTGAGGCTTGCGCTCGCCTCAAATAACAGCGTGTGCGAGGCTGTGTGAAGGGCCACGTGATTCAGTCCTACCCCTTCCAGCCAACGTGCTCCCCAGTAACCCGGAATTCAACCACCAAGTTCATCACATCACATTGCTCGAGTAATCTTTGTTACGTGGCTAGAGGATTCACGAGTGCTGCTCGAAACCAAGGTACCGCAAAGCTCGTACTTCAATGCAGCCCTGTTGTCATGTTTTACAAAGCCTTGGCATATACCGTATTAGGTATTCGCAAGCCATACAAATCCATCTACTTGACATGCAGTAAGATACGGTGGAACCTCCGAGCATGTCAGAAGTGGGCAGAGATGCGTGGTCGATGTTCGCCCTGGCACTAGCTCTGCAGACCCACATGTTCGTCCTCGACACGCATGCAGGGCTGACCGGGGTCGGTCCGCATCAAGCGCGCCGCAGCTTGCACAGTGCATGCGTACCTGTCTTGTGACAAAGGAACTACCATGTGAAGATACTTCGTTTTGTGTGTAATGATGTGTTTTCAATATGTACAAACTCCCCAGCCATCTCGATGCCGGAAAGCACCCGCCCATTTCTGTGTCCTCTTTGCACTGATGATACAGCGGGCTCACTACCCAATCACAACAACCTCATCTCCGGGGTTGCTACGTCCAAGGCCATTTAGATTTGTTGAAGATAGTTTGCTGGGACGCTGCGTACGACACCGTCTTTTTCCACGTCTGCCCATCCGTCACCGGCGTCCATGTTGATCAGCACGAACCGGTCTCCTTCTGTCATCGAGTGCTCTACGTCGGTTTGTGCTGTATAGTCGTACAGTGCCTCGACATATTTGAGCTTCTTGGCGCCACGCTTCGGCGCTACCGCTGGCCCCTTTTTCTTAACAGGAGCAGCTGTGTTCATGTTTGTCGTTGACGCTGAAGAAGCAGAGTATGTCGAGTCTGGACGTGCTGACGAAAACGTCGAGGCTGTCGTGGGAGGCGTTGCCACTATAGTCTCTACATACGCTGCGGGGACTAGGCCTTCTTTGACACCAGCGCGAACCTTCATCCATCCAGATCCGTCTGTATGGCAACATGTCAGTGACTAGAACACAATGTGATCAAAAAAAAACATACCATCGGCTTCTAGTATAGTAATCTCTGTGCCTTCAGCCACCGTCACCTCTCCGTCGCCGTGTTCTTGGTACGCGTATAGCATCTTGCCCTTGGGTTCGGCCGACTTGGATGTGGGAGTAGGAACATCTTCTTCACTCTTGATGTACTGTGCTGGCGGAGGTGCAACTATGCGGTTCTTCCTAGGGCCCGGTGCTGGTGCTGGCGCCTTCTTTTCTGGGGGTGGCGGCTCTTCAGCGGTCGGTGATATTCCAGCTATCGACCGTTGTGCAGTCGCCGAGTAGCCAGAGCTCAGTGTGTTCATAGAATTCACTGTGTCACTCCTGCCTAGCCGCGGCATGTCTGCGCTAGAGCTCGTCGCAGCACCGTTTGTAGCCGTCACAGTGTGCGCGGCCTTTTGCCGCTCTTCTTTCAGTTTCTTCTTTTCCTCTTTGCTCTGTTCTCCAGGACAGTCGGCCGGGACCTTCATCTCGCACTTGCTGTGACAGGTGTAGCCACAGTCTTTGCAGTCGAATCCTTTTGCCGACAGACCCCATATGCGATCTCCGCATAGATCGCAATTTGTGGGTATCTTGAATGTCTGGGATTTGAAATTGTGGTTCCTCGCGCCAATGCTAAGGTCGCCTACGACGGATGTGATGGTCGAGACTTCGACTTCAGCGCTCACTTTCTGGCGTTCCACTTCATGCATCGTTTCTTGTATCGCAAAGATGGCACGAACAATGTCGACTTCCTCTCTCTTATCTGTTCCGTCTCTTATCTTTTGCCGTACCGCCTTGGCATTCTCTACCTCCTTGCGCTTTTTCTCAAGCTCGCGTTTGTGTTCTGACAAAGAAGATTTTGACTTTGTGAGTACGTTGCGCAAGAAAATTGTCGCAGACTCATCGACGGCGATGTTACTGTCGTCTAGCCAGACCGGGCTGGGCTCAAATTGAAAGTCCTCAGGCTCCTGCCATGGACCAGCGTTATGCCGCACGAACATCATCGAGTCAAGTAGAGGGTTGTTGCGTGGAATCTCGCCGGATAGATGGTTCAGGTACTCGGTACTCCGCGTAAGCGTTTGCGTCTCGATCTGCGCCGCCAGCAACCATATCGCATTCAGCTTGTTGACTCGCGTTTCGGAAAGGTCTTGAAGGCTCTGCAATGGTCAACAGAACTCTGCCCAACTTGTGGTGGTACCTACATCTAGCAACTCGGGGACGTACTCGTGGTAGTACATCTCCTTTTGCTTATTGGTCACGTTGATACTAATCAGATAGGTGTTCTGTCCAGATTAGCTGTTGGAACACCAAAGTAAGGGCGCGCGCAACATACCTTGACGTTGCGCATCTCGACCTGCTGTTGGTTAAAGGCATTCTGTGCCTTTGCTTTGCCATGGTCAAACGCACTATCCACCTTTTTTCGCCGGCTCTCGACCTCCTGACAGACACTGTCGTATTTGCCCTTTTGCTTGCGCAGCTCTCCGTATTGGTTGTCGCGTTCCTTCTCCAGCTTGGCAGCATAGTCGGCGTGCAGTTTGCGCAATTCCTCGGTCCGTGTGCCGAGGAGCTTTAGGGGGTCGGCAAGTTGGGTGATGAGGGCGCCAGCGAATTGGTCATGTTCGGCTGCGCGGGACTCGAGGGTGCTCAGCTGAACTCCCCATGTCGTCATGGAGGCGCTAGGTATGCTCGTCAGCCAGATGGGCCTGCAGTTGCAACGCGCTCGTACCTTTCCAAGGAGCCCGGAGTCACGGTGGGCGTGTCGCCAACACTCAAGCTGCTCTGCTTCTTGGCTTTCTTCTCGTAGTACTTCTTCGCAAGCGCGCTGAGTTTTGCCGAGTACTCCTTTTCTATGGCGCTTCGTTCCCGGTAGAACTGCTGTATGTCGTCCAGCCAGGAGATGCCGCCGGACACCTGCAGCCTCTCACATCAGTCATGGGAAGCGCAGCCCTCATGGGTCATACAGTCGCTGTATACGCAGAGCGGAAGGGGCGGGGTTGTACAGCTAACATACCCAGGCGTTGACCGTCTTGAAGCCATCCTGAAGCCGTCTGTTAGCACCCGCTCGGAGGAGCCGCGTAGAGGGCGCATACCTTGAGTTCGGCACCAAATTGGGGCGCAATGTCGACGTCCATGGTTTCTGCAAAGCTAGGGGCTGGAGACGAGGAGAGCGGGGATCGGCACCCCAGACATGTAGTGTGAAGGACTTCTGGGGCGAGGACGGGGGGAGGGCTACGCGAAGTATACAAGGTGTCTTCGTTACCGGATGCCCAAGAGTGGGGCAGGAGGAATGACAGAAGGAGGCGGTGCGCGGCAGGCAAGGGAAGCCCGGGATTTGGTCCGATGACGTTGTGTCGCCGTCTTGCGCGGCTCCTTGGGAGATTCCGAGTCTGAAGCTCTGGTGTGGGCGGCGCCTTGCAGGCCGGACAATGCAATACACGCGCGCGCCCAAGCGTAGAACTGGCCCTTCACCCGGTCGCGACACTATGGGCGGGCTCACATGTGCCAGCGCCAGCGCCAGCGCCTACGTACTCCAGGCCCGGGGCATGCAGCGCGGGCGGGCGCGCGCGCTACATCCGGCTAGCGCTGCAGCCCCGCCAAAGGCTGCTTGCCTGCTCTCTGAGCTCACACAATTTCCCGCGCGTCCCTCCATAGCAACAACAACACAACAGCATTCATTTCCCCCGGCCCTCTTTGCTGCGCGGCTGGCTCTATCGCTCGGACATCGATTTATCCGTACACTCCTGCCGGACATTACGCTGACACCAATACCACCGCACTAGGATTTACTCAACTTCACCGCCCGCCATGTCGACAGCTGAGGAGACGCCCCTCAAGCAGGAGGTCCCTGCCGAAGAGGCGCCCATCGAAGAGACGTCTGCTCAGGAGACACCCGCGCCCGAGCCCCAGGACTCGCTCGAAAACGCCCAGGTCGATGGCAGCGGCGAGCAGGGCAATGGCTCTGCTCTGGCAGACGCCAAATTCAATGTCGAGGTCAAGCTGGCCGACCTGCAGGCCGACCCCAACAACCCCCTGTTCTCGGTCAAGTCTTTCGAGGACCTGCAACTGTAAGCTCCACGCGCTCGCCATCCGGGCGGTCTGACAGATATAGCTCCGACGAACTGCTCAAGGGCATCCGCAACATGAACTTCCGCAAACCGTCCAAAGTCCAGGAGAAGGCTCTGCCGCTGCTGCTGCTGAACCCACCTACCAACATGATTGCGCAATCGCAGTCGGGAACGGGCAAGACTGCTGCCTTCTCGCTCAATATCCTTTCTCGCGTCGACCTCTCGAATCCCGAACCGCAGGCTCTGGCACTCGCGCCTAGCCGAGAGCTCGCTCGTCAGATTCTGGGCGTCATCACCCACATGGGCCAGTTCATGGAGGGTCTCACGACTATGGCTGTGATTCCTGACCCGTCGCGGAGAGGCCGGAAGTTCGATGCGCAGGTTCTGGTTGGCACGCCTGGAACAGTCCTGGACATGGTGAAGCGACAGTTGATCAACCCCAGGGGCATCAGGATTCTTGTCCTGGACGAGGCAGACAACATGCTGGACCAGCAGGGTCTGGGCGAGCAATGCACCCGTGTCAAGGCACTGCTCCCCAAGAACATTCAGACGGTTCTCTTCTCGGCTACCTTCCCGCCCAACGTCATCGCATATGCTAAGCGCTTCGCACCCAACGCAAACACGCTGACTCTGGCCCACGAGGAGCTGACCATTGAAGGCATCAAGCAGTTGTACATTGACATTGATAAGGACAATGACAAGTATGCTACGCTGCTCAAGTTCTACGGTCTGATGACACAGGCTTCGTCCATCATTTTTGTGCGAACACGAAGGACTGCCGAGGAGCTCGAGCAACGCATGGTAGCCGAGGGTCACAAGGTCGCACAGCTGAGCGGTGCTCTCGAGGGTCCTGAGCGTGACCGTGTCATTGACCAGTTCCGTTCTGGAGAGGCCAAGGTTCTCATCACCACCAACGTGCTCGCCCGTGGTATCGATGTGCAGTCTGTTACCATGGTCATTAACTACGTAGGCTATACTCTTAACATACACAAGATGCAGAGCAGCGATACTAATGGAATCGCAGGATGTCCCAACCATGGCCAATGGCATTGACGCTGATCCCGAGACGTACCTCCACCGAATTGGTCGCACTGGTCGTTTTGGACGTGTTGGTGTCGCCCTGACCTTTATCCACGACAAGGCGAGCTGGCAGCAACTGCACGCCATTGCCTCCTACTTCAAGACTGAGCTGCACCCGATCGACACATCCGACTGGGACGCCGTGGAAGACATGATTCAGACAATCATCAAGTCTTCGCGCGCCGGCAAGACGACAGAAGAGATGACGGAAATGATTACCAAAGGATCGTAAGATGTTATGAGCATGGAAAGAGCGACAGCATCGGAGAAAAGAGTGGCATCAGAGTGCTGGACATGTATGTGCCATGTAGCGAACTGAAATGTTTCTACGTTTGCGATGGACGGCTTTTCAGAATCAATGCCCTCGTAGGGTTTCGAGAAAAGATGCAACGAAAGGGAAATTACGTACGACGGAAACGAATCAAAGATACCCAAAATGAAGCATGCAAAGTGAGCAAGTTTACCAACTTTTCTTCGTCCTCGTCTTCCTCTTCATTAGTTCTCATTTTTTTTCCTTCTCCCTTCCTCTTGTATTTCATTATTTCTCGTGTATTTTTTTTCTTCTTCTTCTTCTTCTTCCTCTTCATTATTACTTCTCACGTCTCAAATGCCTTTGGCGCCGTAACCAAGATGACAACAAGACTGCTTCCAATCAGCGCACCAGCAATCCCACTCACCAGAATGATACTTCCCCTGGACGCAGGAAACTTGCCGCGAATCACATAATGCTGGGCCTCAAAATACCTGTGGAAGCCAATCAGCAGCATGAGTATACTGATGCCTATAAAGGTGGCGCCGAGGGGTTTCCCCAGCTGCCGCAGCTTAGCCTGCGGCGACGCGGGCGACTGGAAGTCCGGCGCATTCGACAGCGAGGTGTTCAGGCGGAACAGCTGGGTAATGGCAATGCCGATGCTGGCAAACGAGAGCGATGTGCGGAGCCAAGCTAGAAATGTGCGTTCTACATGCCGTCAGCTGACCTTGACTTGATACTTACTGTGAAGGAGAGAGAGAAGATGGAGACATACCCAAGGCCAAATGATCCCGCGCTACACTCCCCTTGTTATCCAACTCTATGCTCCCGTACTTCTCCCAGAACTCGGCCCACCACCCTTTTTCCCGGCGCTCGGCTTCCGCCGCCGCACTGCCTGCAGACCGGGCGTCGTGGCGCTGCGCAGACGAGGCGGCAGAGTCGAATTGATTTGCACCCGTGCTGCTGCCATTTGTGCATTTCTGGCTGCGCGCAGGCTGTACCGCGCCCGCTGTGCCGTCTTGCTCTGCGGTATTGCCGTCGTCGTTGTCGTCTTCTGCTCGCCCGGAATCCGTGGCTGCAGGCCCAAAGTGCGCATGTTGCTGTGCGACGTCGTTATCGGTGTCGGCGCGTGCGCGCATGCCAGGCGAGAGCGTCTTGTAGTCTTTCTTGGGGGATGCGGCGTCCGACGGACTGAGCATGGGCGACGTCTCGTCTGCAGCCCGTGGTGCGCCCGCGCCGAGTGAAGAATGTGCGTGTAGCTGTTGTTGTTGTAGTTGTTGGCGGTGGTTGTGGTGTTCTGAGAAGCGGTTCCGCGGCCCCAATGACGACGAGTCTGCCATTGCTTTCGCGTTATCGATAGTAGTTTACTAAGTACGTAAGTAGTAGGAAGGACTTCCAAATCTGCTTTTACTGTAAACAGCGGACTTGGGCAGAGAGGGGCTGTAATGCTTTGTCTCAAAAAAAAAGGGTGAGTACATCTGTTCGCTGCGGGCCGGCTGTATCACATGCGCGCTGGGTTCTGGAGGGATATTTGCCGGAATCGGCCCCTCGTAAGTAGCGGCGGCGCGTGGATGTTGCCCAAACGTCATTTCGTCCCGAGGTTGCGACGTTTTGGCGTTCCTGGCACGCGTTGGCCCGTTCCCCCCACGGGGGATTGACAAGCTCGACTAAGTAGGCCTGCATGCTGGAATATGCAGAGGAGATCTTCGCGGCCTCGTATCTCGAATTCCGGCGCCCACGCGTTGTGGTTGCATATCTGTTGCTTGGCTGGATCGCGGCAGTCAGCTGCATTCCCTGCGTGGCACACGACCAACTGCGCAACGGGCCTATCGGACCTCAGCGTTTCCCGCAATGTGTCAAACAAAGTGCAGCTTCAATGTCAAAGTGCTATGCGCATGGATTCACTAAGCCAGACTGGGGAAAAATCCGTCCTGTGTGGTATTTCAAATCTAGATCTTGCTAACTGGTATATATTCCTTGCCCGGCAAAGCCTCATTTCCAAAACATGCGTATCATGTATGCGCGGCGACCAAACACAACGCTCATGATTTGCAGCAACCCATGTTTAAATCGCCCTTTCCAACGCCGCCCAATGACCACTGAAACAGAGCAGCCCGCAAGTATGTAAAAATCCGCCGTCTACTCTTTTACTCGTTGACGTGGTACACCTGCAGTTACAGTTAGCATCATGTAGTCGTCATAACAAAGCTTAAGAAACCCACAAGGTAGTTGGGCAGTCCAAAGCTCTCCCAGTTCAATCGGGCTGCCATTTTCGCAAAGCCCTCGGTCTCAATGAGGTGGTAAAAGGCAAACGGTGGGAACATGGCGCCGTCCCGGTGCACCTCGGCCTTGACCAACAGTACAGCACCTCCTACACCATCGAGTTTGATCTTTGCGTGAGGATCCGCGTTTGCATCGTACATCTTGGCCATAAGGCTACGGTAGGTTGCCATCTCAGCATACCCTTCGAGCAGGATGTCGTCCTTGCCCATCTTGTTGGCCAGGTCCTTTGCAATGCTGCTGTCGATCCAGTTATTGAAGTCGTATTCGCGCACGTCCATGGTCTTCTTCTCCTCATTGTAGTATCGCTGGAAGCAGTTGGGCACAATGATGGGCACGTTGTAATCGGCAAGATCCTGGATCAGCGTCGGTGGGGTTTCAACAATGTCGCCATCTATCCACAAAACCCACGAGGTCGAGGGCCCCAAGGTTGTGAACAGGAGCGAGTTTCGTGCCTTTGCCATGGCCGCCCGCCGCGCCTTCTGGTTCTCCATCTTGTGGCGCTCGGCCTCGTTTTGCGACTGGAGCGGCGACTCGGTGTCCTGGCGGAGGATCGTTACAGCGGCGAAGCGCTTGGTCTTGGGGCCCGATTGCGTCTTGGCGACCTGGGCCTGCAACGCGGCGTATGCGGCGTTGCCTTCCTTTGTCTTTGGTATTATGAAGCCCAGAGAGATCAGGTTGTGTGGGTACGAGAGCTTGAGGAGGTTGTCCCAGTACTCCTGGTAAAACCTGGCCAATGGGGTGAGGATCAGCACCGTCTCCTCGTTCTCAATGGGCGTGCGCGAGTTCGTCACATTGTTCATGTAGTAGTGCACGACGGGCGGCGCGGCGTGTGGCGCATTCGACTTGGATTTGTGGAAGGGCAGCGACGGAGGCGACAGCGGGTTGGAGGCTACCTCGCCGGAGCCCGACTTGGGAATGCTGGGGCCATCGCCGCCGGAGAAGAAGAAGACGAAGAAGCCCACGCAGAGAATGGCGGCAAGGACCAGCGTGATGGGATTCGAGCGTCGAAGCGAGCGTGACATGGTGGGTGGAGGGGGCTAGGGAAAAAGGCGAACCGCGGCTGCCAGAGTAGGAGAGCGTCTATGGGCGGCGCATCAGAAGAAGAAAGCGGCGGCGGCGGATGGTGGTGAGGTGGTGGCTTGCTGCAGCGCAAGGAGTTGCGCGAGACGTGGCCTGGCCGGCGCTCGGAAAAAGTGTCAATGGCGATGACAGTCAAGGGGGTGGAGGCCAAGCAGAGTGCCGGGGGGTTCGAGGGAGCGAGCGAGGGCACGCAGAGTGGCGGAACAGGCTCAAGGCGTTCGAGGGCAGATTGCAGGAGGGAACATGAGCAAGGCCAAGGCCATTGTCGGAGCCCTGCACTGTCGCGATGGTTGCGGCCCTCTGCTTACGTAAGTACGCATCCCTGGCCCTGTGCGTCCACTCCACTCCACTCCACTCCGCCCAACCACCAACCAGCTGCTACCCGGGCTGGTGCTGGTGCTGGTGCTAGCGTCGATGCGTCATGGACGCCCGCCGCATCTGCAACTCCTGCTCGCTCCAGCGCCGCGCTCAATTGAGCCTCGACAAATGCCTCTGCTGCTCGCACGACCATGGCCAGTCCTGACGCGTGCTGTCGCCGCCGCCCTCGCTAGTCGCCGCCCGCCACGGCGCGCGTATGCTGCGGTGCCACCGCCACCATCGACAGCCACCGCCGCCCCCGAGGGACCAAAGCCAAAGACCATCAGCGGCGCCATAATCATACCCGCCTCTCTCAAAACTCATGTAAGGCCCCTCGAAGCTTTTGAAATCTGCATTTGCCGACCCTTCTCCATAGCCACGCCACCTTTTCCAGTCCATCAAGGCCTTGCCGTTGGAAGATGCCCTCAGGAAAACTTTCACCGTCTTCTTTGTCACGCCGTCCTACGCACACTTTCTGCTCGACGACGACTCTTTCCTGCACGATGCCCTTCTCCGCATCTATGGCGGCGTGACAGACGCGGCCGACCTCAGCATACATGCCCTTTGTGCTGTTGTGGATAAAGTCCCAGCTCCCCGGCCGTGGAAAAGCCATTCCTTCGAGGATGAGGTATCATGGCGCAGGGTCCAGCCGCCCATCGCTGGAGCAGGCTTCGAAGGCATCGCCTACGTCTCTCTTCGACCCGGCGCTTCTGTTTCACCCTCCGGGTCGCTCTCTCCGTCAGAGAATGGTGCTATCGATTTCATCACAGCAGATTACTTTTCTGACGGCGCAGCCCATCTCGACACATTGCGACTCCCCCTTGCAAATACAGTCTTTCAGACAGGGACGCCAACGACCATGTTTCAATCCACCTGGCAGACGCACGGCACTCCAGGCAAATTGACTCTACTCGCAAAGACCAACACATCTCATCACGCTATTCGTCTAGATCACACCCCTTACTCTCTGCACGATACATCTGCCCTCAACATCCCTTTGTTTCCCCTCACCTTGCCTCGCGTTGTGGAAGGCTGCATGGGCAACATCATCCGTCGTGTTTTGGACGCTGATGGCAATAGTGTTCAGGCATCGTCAGAGCTGGAGGACGCGGTCCCAAGATTTTTCGCGGCCAGGGGAAGGCCGTCACAGGCAACTGTTGCTTGGGCGCTAGTGATTCCCAGTAGCCTAAAGGACAAAGTCATTTCCAGGACCGAGGAACTCTTCTCGAATCTACCCACGAAAGACGACGCCACTCCTACCGAGCCGGAGCATGCTTGGGAACGTCTATGGTGCAGCAGGCCACCGGCTTGGAATACGCTCGTCTCCCAGGCAATCTCAGAAGGCGCGCGTCTCCACCGTGTCCTAAGCGGAGGAGGTGGATGGGGTAAGAAGGCAGGCCTGCTGTCCTTGGATCCAGTACCGGTCTATGGACCTCCCGAATCAATTGGTTCTGATGCTGCAGCCGTCAGTGACGATCCGAGCGATTTTGAATCCACTCTCACACCAGTCGTACGAGACGGTGACTCGATTCAATTCTTCATTTTGCCAAAGGCTATGCTTGACCATGAGGCTCGCCAGTTTGACAATTATACCAGTGTCACAAGATTGACAAGGAAGGGCAAGCTTTGGGGCTGGGAGCTAGGCACCGTCCCAAGCACAATGGATTCCATTCCCGGAAAGTCATGGCAGCACCAGACGGCTCGAAAAACTGCTTATACTTTGTTCAATAGTAGCTTTGGCGCCTTGACAGAAGGAGCCATGACCCTAACACGTCGCTCTTGGACAAGACAGGGAGGCATCAGCTCAGTGCATACAACGATGCTTGATGTTCCTTTCTCCCGCTTCTGGACTGTCAATTCAACTAAAATGCGTGTAAAACATCTCAATCCTGAGCAAAAAGACATGGACGGTGCCGGTAAGGACAAGGACGTAGGTGAGCCTGGTCCAGAGTAGCCTCTGCCTACACTGTATTCTAATTGTGCAAGTAGCAAATTACAAATCTAAATGAACTGAACTTGTTGTCCAGAGGTGCTTTCAATTCTTCTCATCATGTACGAAATGCCTTGCTTGATACTCGATCAGTTCTTCCAAGAGTCTTGAGTATTAAAGGGCCAGTGCTGGCACGTACATTCTCAAGCACTACTCTGGTGCAAGTTCAACGGTCGGAAAACGAGACTACGGACCTGGGGGACTCGAATACCCACATTGAGGGATCGCAGTCCGGACATGAAGAACCTAACGTCGAAGAGTCGTCGAGAAATGGCAGCGAATTGTCTACTCACAAAGAGGCTCGCCCGCACTCTGCACCAAAAATGACAATACCCGAACTGGTAGATGCACTCGGTATCACCGGCGTCCGCAAGTTTGGCAAGCTCAGCGTCCGCACAGCAAAAGCCATACAGCGCGAACTCCGCCGAAGATTCGACCAACAATCAAAACAATACCACGCCATCCTCTCATCGCGCCGTCCCCAAATCCCAATCAAAAAAATCCCAACAAAGCAGCCAACCCTCCTGAGACGCATCCTCACCGTCGACAACACATACCACGGGCTGCGCCGGCCCAAGCCCAATCTCATCCGCAAAATGGGTGTAAACACCGAACACACGGCGGGCCTCATTGTAAACGCCTTCCGCGTCCTGGCGTTCCAGACAGACGGCCTGCTCCAGGAAACCGGGTCCGCCATCGTGAGCATCCGGCTGCGGCGCCTGCGCGCAGAACTACAACGGTATAGACGGCGGACGAGGCGCTCGCGCGCTCGACGTAGATTGGAGGAGCGCAGACGCCGGCGTCAGCGTCGAGTGAGTGAACGGAATACTGCAGCTGGGGAAAACAATACTACCGCTACACCACGACCCCGCGTACGACGCATACGCGGCGGGCGCCCCGTGCAGATGAAATTCCACACTGCGTTTCCCGTCGGCACCATTCGGTTCAGCGACGGGCGCCGCGCCAAGCTGAAGCGCGGCGTGAGGAGCACCCGTTCTGCGTCGTTGTCACCGTACAGCTACAGGTACAGTAGAGGCTGGAGACGAGGCAGCGTGCTGCGACGGGTGCGTGTCGAGCAGCGCGGTACCGAGGCGGCGCGGCGCAGAGCTGAGATGGCGCGCGTGTGGAGGCTGAGGCGCAGGGAGGCGGAGCGGTTGGAGGCGACGGTTGAGTCGTGGCTTAATGCTGGTACTGGTGCTGGTGCTGGGGGAGGTATAGGTTTCTGAGTGTGGTGGGGAGGGAGTGAGGGAATGAGTGTATGATATGATATGATGTGATGCGATATGATGTGATATGATATGTGTAGAGTGTTCCCCTTTGTGTGTATATTACATAGTGTATGAGAATAGATAGCTAGTTGTGAATACTCTGTCTTCTCACCACAATTTCAAACCCTCATCTTCGTAAGAGGAGGGAAGACGGCCAAGTATCTTCGAATGTGCAGAGGGCGTGTTGAACGTGTATGTACTACAAACGGCAAAAAAGAAAAAGAAAAGGAGACTGCGTGGAGAAGCAGCCGTTGGATCGACAAAAACCCCACATATACGTACCGCACATCACATAGTCTCATAGATGCAGACAACCCTCTAATCACGACATGCCCGATGTCTAGTATGAAAAAATGAAAAAACATCACATATCACGACCAGGCAATCACTCCACACTTCACAGAACCGAAACGAAACGAAAAGAAAACGAATTTCCATATTCATCACCCGCCCCGTAGGGTGGTAAGGTAGAAAACTCGCCTCCCCATGTGTATTTCCCCCAATCGCCCCAAAAGACATGAAAAGTTGGGACTTTCTGTGCCGACCTTTGCTTAAAACCACCATCCCAGCTTTTGTTGGCCGTGTAAAGAAAAGAAAAGAAAAGGCAAACTCCGAGGCTCATGAATTACTACTTAGCAGTCGGAGATAAAAGGAAAAAAAAGACATATAGAATATGGGAACTTTCCCCCGGGATATCGGCCTTGTCACATTCAGATGTAGAAAAAGGCCTCGCATGGGTACACGTCAATGACAGGATGTGAGCCTTGTCGGTAAGGAAAGGGGCATGGTGGTGCTGCTGATGTCAGGTCTTTGGGGATCGGCAACATGGCGGAACGGCGGCACTTGACACATTGCATGTGTAATTGTCGATCAGGGTGCGCCAGGTCAAAGATGGATGGTTAGACTGCGAGACTGCAGGGGCTGGTCTAGAGGTCCACCTTCGAGGCCGTAAAGTCCCAGAGCATCTTGACGAGGGAATCAGGCAGCGTGTACAGATCGACATGGAACTCGCCGTCTGTCACATGTTAGCATGTGTGCCCTCGGTCCCCAAAACTGTGTCCACTTACTCTCAACGTCGTTCTTGGTGTACGTCTCACTCGTCTTGTTGTCGTGAACCATGGTGACGACGTGCAAAAGATCGTCCTCGCCAAGCTTTTGCAGGCCATCCGCCAACTTCTCCATGTCTACGTTCTTGTCCTTTCGGCTCTTCTTCTTGACTGCATCCTTGTTACGCACACCATTTGCCTCGGCGGGACCAGACTCTGCAAGAAGTGCAAGCAGCTCAGGCTTGGGATTCCGGAAGGTCTGTCGGGATCGAGTCAGCCATTTGTGCATGGTGGGAGATTACACTGGCTGTGCACTTACCACCTGGTGCTTGGCCTCGTAGCGCTCCGACTGAAAGTTGAGGTCATGGTCGAGTGTGTGGTCGCCGCCTTTGCCCACAGCGGTCAAGACGATGGTCATCTCGAACTCACCCCAGCCCTTCTCGTCGATACGGAACGGGGGCTTCTTGATGACTGTGTCGCGATTAGCAAGTCTGCATGTCGGTCAATACGGCATGGCACACTTACCATGCTTGTTCTTCTCGAATGACGGGTGCAGGTTGTAGACGGCCTTCTCGAAGACATTGGGCATGACCTCATTACCCTGGTCGTCTAGCAGCCAGACCTCTATACTCCATGACCGCATGGGGAAGCCCTCAACTGGCGATGGCTCGTCGCTGCGGGTGTGTTAACAGGTGCTCATGGGTATACGCGTCAGGGAAGCGCTTGCGACTGCGCGCGGGAGCCGACGTACAGCGGCTTCTGGTGGGTGATGAGCTTGACCCATCGCTTGACCTACTTGGAGGTCAGTACTTGTAGGCGCAAGTGTGCATCTCTCCGGGACACAACGTACGTCGGGCATGGTGGCTAGTTTGCGCCGTGTGGACGGAGTATGCTAAGAGCAACTAGGCGTTGAGGATGCCGTGCACGGTACACAGGGGAGCGCCAGAAAGCAGGCTAGAACGGCAGCTGGGATGCGCGCGACTCTGGCCGTGTGTGTCTTGCGATAAGGGTTGAGCGCGTGTGGTTGGGGTGAAGGTCGAGGAGCACGCGGTGGCTGGTCTGGTCGCGAGCTGTGATTTGGCCAAGGTTGAGAGTGATGCACGTCGCGGCGGGGCGGCGGAGGCTGACTACACTACGAGCTAGGCACTGGGCCTTGCTTGGCCTTGGCGCAAGCACACTTGGACTAGCGGCACTCGGTATCCCATGGCTGCACCCTCCTAAGGCTGTTTGGCCAGCCGGCGCCTTAGTCGCATGCCTCGTATCAAACATGTGAATGTGCCACGACAGGCCAGCAGTCGGTTGTATTACCCCGGACCTGCAGCTGAGAGCGCCAACCGCGTCGGCTTGTGGCTGCAACACTCCAACGGCATGGCATGACTCTGCATTTGGGGGGGAATGCCGTCGACCATGTACTTATATCAGTCGGGCCATTTGGTTGCTATCTAATTGTGTGCAGGCTCTGGGTTGCGTCTTCTACCGCCAGAATGTGTCATCATCCCAAAATGCTCCCTCGCGCTTCATGCAATACATGCCTTCATCCTTCGTTTCTCGTCCCTCGTCCCTCGTTCCTCGTCCCTCGTTGTCCTCGGCTCCAGCCTTGCGCTGGCTGCTACCATTACTCCGACTTGCCAAAGAGCGCCTCGTTCTCTTGTTGGGCCTTGATGAAGGCCTCCTTGAACTGGTTGGCGTCTGACACACATGGTTAGCATTTCCATGTCCGGCTCTACAGGCATGCTGCAACTTACTCTCGCTGTTGGCGAAGCGGATAGCAAGCGTCTGGGCCTCGGGCTCGCCCTCGCTGACATCGGCGGCGGCATTCCAGACCCAGCTGCGGTCGCTGCCTACGTTGGGCGAAAGCTTCATGTCGGGAACAACTGTGCACCCCTCAGTATCGTCTCTTGGTTCCCGTACCAGCAGTCTTACCGTAGTGGTTGGCGCAGACCTTGAGTGTCTTGTCTCGGCGCATGACCAGACGCGTCTTGCCGTTCTCCTTGTGCTTCAGTAACCGGACATCACCAGTGCCTCGCTCCTTCCACTCCCGCGACTCTCGGTCGAACTTGAACAGCTTGGCGCGCATCTTGAACACTTGCTCCTCGAGTTCCTCGTTGGTCTTGGTGTCGACCTTCTCCGTCAGGTGCACGACGGGCTGGAATTCAACGTCAGGCTCCTCGTTCTCGGGGTTCTCGTCCTGCCACCACATCAGTATCGCTGCTCTAGCATCTCTCCGTAGACACGCACATCGGCCTTGCTCTTTGAGGCGCCTGATGGCTCGTCGGCATCATCCTCTTCCTCCTTCTTCGCCTTTGCGGGGCCGCCACCAAACATGGAAAAGACGTTGTCCTTGACCGCAGCCACCGCCTCTGTCGCCTTCTCCGTGACGGGCTTGCTCTCTGTGCTCTCGGCCTTGTCGGCAGCCTTGTCAGTCGTGACCTTGGCCGTCTCGTCCTTGACTAGAGTCGGGCCAGGGTTGGTGGCCTGGTCGGCCGCGGGGTCTGGCTTAGCTGCTTCGGACATTCTTCTTGGATCGGTAGTGTGCAGTTGGACTTTGTGTAGCGTGGCAAGAGAAAGTCTTTTTCGCTGAGTGGGTGCAAGAGTTGGGTGTTCAGTGTCAACACAACTGCCCACAAATTGAGGAAGTGGGATGCATGCCCCTCTCCATGGCGCCTTACCCCATTCGGCTCGGGAGCGTGCGTGACACCCCTGCCCCAACACGCTATTTGTATGACATGTCGTGCAACAGGGCCTCTTTTGCACTGCCTTCCTGGCCGGCTATTCCTTGTTCTCTGCAGTGCAAACTTTTATTTGTCAAGCATCTAACCCTCATCCAAACATCCCACATTACGTCATACGTCGAGCCCAGGTTAGCGTGCAAAATTTGATCAACTTGGACGGATACCGTACTAGGTATACTAAGTATACATTCTATAGCTCATGACTCTGACAACCCACACAAACGCCACATGCCCAATCCACCCCAACCAGTCCAGTGTATACACGGGGTATCATGTTCATAACTCCATGTCCTCGTGACCGTTATCAATGCTGCTGCAACACGTGCAGATTCTACCCACAAAAGGAATAAGCAGAAATTGACCCTCTGTCCTCCCAGTGTCCCATCTCCAAATCCCCAATCCCCAATCCTCAATCTCCACTTACGTCTCTCCACGCACCTTGGCGCATGCCCAGCTCTGCTTCTCGCTGCTGTCTTTTGGAGACAACCCTGCAGCCATTTCTATCCTGCATCGAAGGCGAAGGGCATTCATCCTGGCCTTCTTCATTGCCGATGACGTGCGTACTGGTGCTGTCACTTCCCGTAAACTCGCCCATGCCGCTTCGGGCATCTGTCGTGCTAGATCACCCTTTGTCTGCAACTGCTCCTGAACCTTTTGCCGCATACGTTGGATATGCTCAGACGCAGCTGTCATGTCGATATCCTGCACAGCCATGTATGTCTGCATATGCTGTGCCGCCATGACGGAGACGTTCCGTAGAGTGTCCTGGGTACTAGAAAGACCCAACTTGGCATTCTCAATGAACTGGTCCAGCATTGACTTGTTGTGACCCAGCATGACTTCGAAAGACTGTCGTAGAAGCGGCTTCGAGTGAGTTGCGATGCTAACGTTGAACGTGCCGAATGGATACTTGTGTTCAAGGTCGACAATGTACTCGCCTGTCACGGTGCGGTTGTACCGGATAGGCACTGGTTGCGACTGGCGAGCAATCTGAATTTGGAGCTGTGGTCTCTTGCGACTAGTACCAAAAGCTTTCGAGGGACGGAGTGTGAATTGATGGTCCCCGGTAGTCTGGAGCTCGAAGCCGCCCATGCCTGCATCTTTCGCCTTTGACTTTTGATCAGGCTGCGTGTGGGGTGGTATGACCGTCAGACCTCGCATCGCCGGTGGGATGGATGCAGTCGAGATAGCCGAAGCTATTTGTGAAGACATGGATGCCATCGGGGCGATGCTGGAAGCAATTCCCGTTGTCTCAGAGAGTACTGATAGTGCGGATATGCTTTGTGAAGTCTTCTGGAATAGCATGGGAGCAAAAGCTACGGCCTGGAGTAGAGCAGGTATCAGTGCACATAGGACCATCAGAGATAGTAGCATTCTTGCCACCGACCACTGAATTCCAGTGGTCTTCATAAACGTCTTAATCTTTCGACGAATCCATGACGCCTGTGCTTTCTGGCCTTTCTTCATGCCTTGTGCTGTCATGAGGTGAGGGCTGATGTGAGCAAGGTGGCGATTGAGCTGAGACGGATCGAGTCTGCTAAAGCCACGGTGATTTAGAGGCAATATTGCTTTCAGCTCGTAGTCAGCGTTTGGGTGGTCGCGGCCCTCGACATGTATTTGCAAGGCTGCCGCATCCTCTTCGAGAGACGTAGCACCATGGGGGATGACCTGGGCAAGGTCGATGCATGGAATCTTGACATAGCCAAAGAACTTTCTTGCAACTTCAATGGCTTCTTCGTCTTCAGCAGCCACTTCCGGTTGCGTTCGGTGGCATATAACCACAAGGTCTGGTCGGTCCGGGGAATGAGTGGACATGCCGTGCCCGAATTTGATATGTGTTCCATCTTCTAATTCTACCATGACATGCGTGGGCCTCCCGTGTGAGGTGAGAACTTCAAGATTGATGCAGCGAGAGACTTGCGGAACAGGGACGTACGGCTCGATTTGTCCGCGTACCATGACCGACTTGGAGACGCTAGGGTGGGCACCCAGTGCCGTAGCGATCTGCGCAGTAGTGATATCTTCTGCCCATTTCTCAGGCATCCCAATGTATAATATCTTATAGGAGTCAGGTGTAGCGAGGGGGTATTTTGCCAAGGCTGCCTTGACGGACAGCCTCACCTCGCCACAGCCATAGCGACTGAATACTTCCGGCAGCTCATCTGTGTAGTCCGTCGAGCTCTGGATAACATTACTTCCCTGAATAACGTCTTCATTGTGCATTGGGTGCTCGTTCAGCATGATGCGCCAGGAACTCTCGCTCCCAGACAGGTATGAGGGCACTTCGGTAAGTGTAGAGTCGTCCCATGCTGTGGCGGGGTGTACGTCGGCCTGGTGCTCTGGGGCTTCGGCTTGTGACGAGTAAACGCTGTCATGTAAGCCTCGGCCGCCCATCTCGTACTCGGCCTCGTCGTCACTAAAGTCGTCGGACGTGTCGTCGGGCGTCGGAACGTCGGTGGAGGCGATGGATGCCGTGTGGGCCTCGTCATCGGACACGTCCATGATGCCGTCCCCAAGCAGGTCATAACTACTGTCGTCGAGGGAGCTGCCCGCCTCGTCTGGGTGGTGGCGCTGCGTGGATCGCATCATGAGTGTCTCCAGGTCGAGTTTGGTCAGCGAACAGTCAACTCGCACAGGAGGGAACTTGAGATCGTCAGAGGGAGTGGAATTGCTAGAAGTCATGTTAGCTGGAATTCATAGAGCAGACGGCGTGTGTGCAGTGCCCTCGAGTGCGGTGGGAGGGGCAAGGCAGAGGGGGCCAGGGTGGTGGAGCAGGTAGCAGTGGGCACCCAGGGGGGGTGCTGCCTAACTACTAGCTACGTGCAATGGCGCGTCTGGATGCCCTCCGGAGAGAGAGAGGGTGGGGGCGTATGCGAACCAGGTAATAGAACTTACCGCCGCGGTGGCCGTGAGAAGACTAATTGCAGCTCGGATCCTTCTTCTGTATTCAAGGGGCTGCTCGACGAGATGCGAACAGTTGTAATGGCACGGGCACTGATGGGGTGTAGTCCAGGTGGGATGATGCCGACACAGGTACCCCGCATAGTAAGCGATAAGATACGAAACATGGTTCACATGCCCACCCCGACGGGGGCACGGGGGGGGGAACACCAAATGCGCGACAACCAAATCGTCATCTACCTGCGCGTTGGGCCACAATAGAACAATGCGTCGTTTGCGAGCCGTGTTTCGTATTCGTGGATATAGCGCATTTGCGCCAATATGTAGTATCCCATCGACAACGCCCCCCGTAGCCCTGCTAATCTTTTGCTTCGAGGCTGCCCGACCGCCATGCAACGCCAACACCATACGCCTTACTGAAACCAGTAGTCTATGCTAATGCGCCCACAAAATGCTCACTGGATGCTGGTAGAGAAGCACGCAACCCGAAGACGCCGTGGGCCTTATGGGCCGGGCGATGCCCACCCGCCAGCGACCTCGACCCACTCGGTCAGGCAGGACCCTTCTTTGCCTTCCACGTCGACAATATCCGTGTCACACTTACAGCGACACCCGACTCCGTTTTCCTTGACTGGATCCGGCGTCGCCCAGTATCGGTCTTCCTCGATCCGCTCCTTTTCATTCACTGTCGTCAATTCCAGATATGGCTCTCTAGGGAGCTGTCGTGCAGGGGCGTTGGCAGGGCAGTGCTGAATAGTGGTATGCCGGTAGCCAAAGTCGCGGAAGTAATGAATATCCTCCGGGCCGAGTAATGCACCGACAGCCAGCGAGTGGATAGGGGCGTCTCCCCATCTCTCCATCCAGAAGCCTCCACTGCGGTCCATCAACTCGAAGAAATCGTTGTACTCCTTGCTGCGGAACCAGTTTAGGTTGGCGATTTCGAAGTTGCTCCAGAAATGGCACATGTTGTACGATTCGCCCTCCATGTTTTCGGGGTGGATTTCAGGGAACGCCTCGGAGCCAAACTCAGAGTCCATGATGTCTTGGGGAAAGAAGGGCTTCTTGGGCTTTTCCTCCTTCTTTGGCGCATTCTCGTCCTCCTTCTTTGGCCTCTCAACAAACATCTCCCACATGCCCTTGGAGGTGAGGTTGTTGTTGCGCTTGTATGCCGACGCATATCTCCAGATGTTGGGTACCGTTTCCCTCAGCTCTTTCACAGCGATAGTAAAGCCATACGTCTTCTTGTTTCGAATCATGTGGATGAATGGGTCGTATGTGATGTCGCAGAAATACTTGATTTCCGGCTCGAGACGCCAATACCACTCGTACTTGGCGAGTAGCTCATGCTGGTAGAATTTGCTGCAAAATATTAGCCGAAACTCGAGCCGCCCCCCAACTGTGTCGAACATACCCAGAGTAAAAGCGACACATGTGATGATAGCTCTCCATGCCGCCGTACATGATGGCTCGGTCGCCCTGCTTCGCGATGCCCTCCTTTGCAACGTCAGGATCGACCCAGTCCGGAAAGCCCCATTGCTCTGGCGGGATCTTGCCCCACTCTACTGGAGCGCTGACGTGCTTCAGAACAACCTCGCGGAAGGTCTCATTGAAGTCTCCGTCGTTGAGGAAGACGTAGGGGTAGTGAAACCATCGGTTGAAATGTCTCTCAATCGACTTTATTGACTGTATGACGCCCTCCAACTCCTTGTTCCTCGCCAGCACTACGAATGCGGCGTTTGCTCGGGGCCCGTTGACCTGTGGCTCGAGACAGCCCACTGCGAAGGGCTTGTCGTATTTTTCGCTGATCTTTCTGCAAAGTATTAGCCGTGTGCCCAATGCTGCTGCGACGAGCGCGATCGCACCGTATTGAGGGTGGGGTGCCCGCAGGCATGTTCATAATACCCTGAGAGTCTGGCGACCTCACGAAAAGAATTATGATTATGATTATTACAAGACAGGGGAAGAGGAGCACCAGGCCCAGCGGTATGGAAACGGACGAGGATCCCTTCAGTCGTATCCGGCGACGGAAGAAGGACAATCGCGGAGATGCCTTCTCGGCCCGGCGCGAGAGGTCATCGAACTTATCCAGGCTCTCTTGTGCGGTTGGCAGCCTCTTGGTCATGTCCTGCAGGAGGCCCATGGCTGATTGTGTGTGTGTGTGTCTGTGTGAATGGCGACTGGCAAGCAAACTTTTACTTACTGCCCGCGGCAGTCTTGGACGGGGGGATGCCAATCGCAGCAGCAGCACGTCTCGTGTGATGCGGGCAGATTGGGCGTAAACGATGAATGCGAGGGCCGCAAGCGTGGGATGCAGAGGGCGACGTGTTCAAGACAGACAGGCTGGGCGGGTAGGGTAACGAGCGTGAGGGTGGTGTGGTGACTCCGGGCCGGCGTGTGACGTTGGGGTGGCAATCGAGACTTGACGCGACAGGCGTGCGAGTCGAAAGGGCGGGAGATGCGAAAGGGGAAGGCCGGGGGTGTCGAGTGTAAATTATTTGACGGCAGGCGATTGCGTATGCGTTTCGAGAAGTGCTAGTCGGCAGGGAACATATCAGTGGAGACGTGCCAAGCTCCCTAGAGCGCAGGTCGATAGTAGGCGCATCCGGCCAATGCAAGCCGCAGCGACGGGGCTAGAGCCTTCACGCCCTCTGCCAAGCCGACACGCCCGGTGGACATGCCACGGCCGCAGACTGACAGGAGACAAAGTCAATTCCCGCCGGGGCACACAGACCAGCGAGGGAGCCGCACGGGAGACGGCCGCTAAGCGATACAGTAGCCACGACATAAGACGGTATATACTACATCGATACAGCACATCCATCTTACATCCAGGCCGCGCCCCTTTCCCGCGCCGACGCCGCCATGAGCTTCAAGGCAAAGGACCTGCACTTTGGTGAGTGCCTCGTCGCCGCAGTGGAACCGCCGCTGATAAGCCCAGACAGCTCTCAGCCAGCCTTCTTGCAGCGGCTGCGCGGCCAGCTTCAAAGTGGGGACACAGCCCGCCATGAGCATCCTATTGCGAGAAACAAGCGGATGAACAAGGACGACGACGACGATGATGCGCCGGCCTATGTCATGGAGGAGACCAACCAGTCGCTAACCAAAGAAGAGTACGACGCGCTCGTCTCCGGAAAAGACAGCAAAGAAAACGAAGCCGACGCCGAGTCTGCGGCAGGTGGAGCCCAGCAAAACGCGGCCAGTGGTGCTGAGTCGCGGCCCAAAGACAAGATTGCCCAAGTAGGTGCTAATGCGAAGAAGCGCAAAGCTGCGAAGATTATCGGAGACGGCCAGGGCGATAGCAAAGACGAAGCAGAAAGAGACGACTATAAGCCAGCCGCCAAAACCACCAAGAAGCCAAAGAAGAAGGCCAAAGCAGTCAAGCTCACCTTTGGAGACGAAGATGAGGGGTGAGAAAAACCGAGACTTCTCTGTTTCTTCACAAGCAAGAGAAGCTAGTCGATGCTTCTGTTCAAATGTCTGAACAGAACGAAGCAAGCCTCTCTGAGCATACGCCGACTCTACAGCTACGCTAACCCGGCCACCGGCGTTAGTGCTGAGCCACGCACATCATGTTAACACCGAGACATTGCGAATGGTTCAACATGTTTCGGCTAAGAAATGTGCTAGGACTACGCAGGCCAAATGGCGACGATATACACAATACCCCTTACGCTTGTAACGAGCCAGCACTGCATGTACCGAGTTTTTCAACAGTGACTTGGCTTTACCGATGCTTCTCTTGTTTCCTCTCGTGTCTTGTTCCAGCCACAGAACGAGAATGTCTACATCCTCAATATACAGCTGTTTATTCCCCCATTCCGACTACATATCGTCCATTCTTGTTAGCAACTCACATCAAACCCCCGCAGTCAAGAGGCTGGAGACCAAGCCAAGGTGCAGGTTCCGATCGGAAGCAGGTCGGAACACTTAGCAGGGGTATGCCTGGAGCGGTGCGGCTCGGGAGTCCGCAACCTCCAAGTCGGCACGCGACGTCCCGCGTCCTTCACACCAGCTTCACCATACAACATGGCGAGACTATCGCTAGAGGTAACCTAGTTTTTCGCTCGTGTATGCATTTGTCTCATTCGATTATCAGGATTTTGACCAGCACATTAACAACCTGCGCGACCAACTGCTGTTTCTCAATGAGACTCTCGAAGGGACAGATCACAATGCCCCTGACTGGCTCGCGACGGATCTTATATCGCTACGAAACAAATCAGGCAGACTACATGACGACATGAAGAGGTTTAGAGACCAGCTTGAAAGCGAAGGGTTGGCAGAGAAGAAGGTTCGCGCACGCGCACACGCTCACAATATTTTCTAATCGGGCGCAGGTCAAGGCGTCCAACAAGCGACTCAGTATCGAAGGCGTAAAGCGCGCTTCATTCACGCCTCAACCTCAGGGCTATACGCCGGATTCTCAAGCGATATCCTCTTCCACAAGCCAATCACCCGCCCAACACGCAAAGACAACTCAAGCAGAAGGTGCCGAACTAGTTCAGCATGTCGACGTTACAGAAGAAGTCAACCGGCGGCTACAAGAGAGCCGCTTACGGCGCTTGATGCAGAATCCCAGTACGGCGCAGAAGCGAAAGTACGATGCATACGAGGAAGCACCGCGACCGGAAGATCCGGTCGGAGCAGATGAGGAAGGCCCCAAGGACAGCCACAGTACAGGCGAAAGCGAGCAAACGCCGACGAAACGACTCAGGGGTAGTGGGGTGTTTGAGCAGATGGGAAGCAGAAGCCATGAAGGTCCTGTGCGGTACGACACGGAGCGCTTCGACGACAGGACCGACGTGAAGAGACGAAAATTTCGATGATAGGCACGGGGTCTTCTCAAGCAAGATGGTGGAAGATGCTTGGAGTGCAGCATGAACTCTGTTGTGCGTCGGCAATGCAGCAAATGTACACAAGACGATTGCTGGCTCAAGCCCAACACTACTGTACTATGGTGTTTTCTGAATAGACAATGGAATTATACATCGCATTGCTGTTGAGATACGACATGTCGTTTGCACGCTCTCCGCAGCACTTCCGGTCCAGCGGGGAAGCTGCAGCCGAGCGGGAGCTAATCGCTTGGTCTTTGCATCATTGAACTTTTCGACATGGCGTCCACCCAACTTTCCGACACGCCAGCCCACGGATCCAGAACAAGTTGAATACACACGCGCGGCTTGTATCCCAACTCCATCGCATTGTGGTCCGATTTTATAACCAACCGCCACACCATGGCGACACCAAACCCCACCCCAAATGTCATGCCACCAGAACAGCGCCTGGCCCTAGAACAACAACAGCGCTATGAACGCATAACGCGGAACTTGGCCATTGGAGGAGTGATATTATGCCCCGTAATCGCGCTCCTTCCACCGCGAAAACTCGACCTCTACACCTTTTCGTTGGGAATCGGTTTCTACCTTTCGGCTGACCACCTCGTTACTCTCCGCACCGGCCGCGGCCTCGTCCAGAACATTCCTTTCGTGCGCGCAGTAGACCTTCCTACCGACCGAGCACGAGAGACACAAAAGATACTGCGCGAGGAAAGGGAGAAGAGCAGAAAGATGCTGGAGAGGAAAGAGGAACAGGAAAAGGGTATATTAGGGAAATTATGGATGGGAGACGAGGAAGAAGGATGGAAAGAGAAGCGACTGGGGGAAGAGAGGAAAGCGCTCGAGGAGGGCAGAGGATATGGAGACTTGATTCTTGAGCAAATTTGGGATGTGTGGAATTGGGACAAGAAAAAGAAGAGCAAAGACGATGAGGGCAAGAAAGAGTGAATCCTGAGTCTCGCTTCCCAAGAGCGACCACGGTGTGTCTATGATGAGGTGTATATTATCAAGGTTGGCGCAGCGCTTTCTATTGAGGGCAAGCCATCCTATGTAAGAGTATTTGGTATTGATGGACGAGGACGTGCTGGGGGACCAGTACAAGGCGACGAATCCTACGCTATCATGACATCTCGCGTCCAAGGGGCCAGACCGTCCTGAAACACCTTTGAGTAATCGGCCTAAAACAAATCGAAAACATGTGGTCATTGTGGGATCAGTGCGCTTGTGGTGGCATTGAGTCAGACTGATTGCGCTCTCTAGCATGGCATACATGAGAAAGAGGTTCAACAAGTACAGCAGGCGTAGTTTAAACCGACATGGTACACAAACGCTGTCTGATTCATAGCCCAACAATGTTTGTGCAGTGGCCACGAGCCATAAGCAGCTATCCGCTGATTCGTGCACCCCGGCGCAGTCGATCAGTTTACCAAGCTCTCTCCAGCCCTTTGTCTCAGCCCAGACCAAGCCGAAAACACATCGACGACTATATCTGAATTTCGATCACGCGCCCCTATCATCCTGTGCAACATCCTTTCCGTATCTACAAGGCTCTGGGCCATATTCAATCACGCGCAGTCCCAATTCTTACGAACCTACCGATAAACTCGGGAGATAGCAGCATGTCTCAGCCAAGTACGCCATTCGATACAAGCACTGCCGATCCGTTCCTCCCGCTTCCAAACCAAGAGCAGCTCTCTCAAGCCGACTTTCACGAGCTGTTTGGTCCCGGTACTTCGGATGGAGGCGTCTTCTTACCAGGCAATAGCGAAGCGTTTGACGGGCTCAATCTCACATACGAAAGTGTCTCACTAGTCCCTGTAGACTCGTCGAGCCTGTCCACTATATCAACGCCTGACTTCTCGAGTTACAGCTTCGGTCAGCACTCGCCAACGTATCCAGCCCCAGAATCCAACATCCAACATCCTTACCCGCTCGAACTTGATCAAACATACGAAGCGAATACGCATCAGCAAACCTTCAGACATCGCCCTCTTCCAATCAGATCGCATACGAACAATGTCCATCTTCACTCGGCGCAAGTGCCGCAGTTTGGTCATCGCCGGCGATCACTCAGTCACAGCGATATAGACCGGCCCGCTGCCGTCACCCACATACCAAACCCCACCTTCTTCCGTCTCCAAGCACCACGTGCCAGAACGACTACAGCCGAGGAATACCGGAGGAATGAATCATACTCTTGTGGAAGAAGCACCAGCCAAGGCTCGCCCCGAGGTAGACCAGTAAAGCCTAGGAGCACCCCATACTCGCTTCAGTCTAGCCCACTGGTAGGCGGCATGTTACCGACTCCGATCGGAACCCCTTTGAACGAAGTCATGGGAGTCGACGATACGAGCAGTGATACCGATATTGCCCATCAATTTCACAGCATTGACATGACCGGTCTACCCATCCTTTCATCTGCTGGAAACCCCATCTTTCGACAAATGTTGCACCCAGATGAGCTTGCGAGAAGTCGGCAGATTATCGAAATCGGGGCCCTTGCCGTCACCACCAACGCCAAGGTCGATCCCAGACTGGAGCAAGGCAGTTCTACCTTGAACCTTGAGCATATTTTGAAGAAGCTGGTTGATATCGAAGAACATCTGGAAAAGAGCGGGGGCGTTGAAGCCTTGCGCAGTTGCAGAACGATACGAGAGGCATTGGTTGGGGAAGCAGAAAGTGGAAAGGGGATGAGAGTTATGGATGAGGGCTTGATAGAAGGTAATGGGACATCGAGCAACGGGGACTCGGGCGACTACTCTCGTATGTTTGATGGCTGCGATGACAATGAGATCATGGCCATGTTGATGAGGCAGCATGGAACTGGCGGTAGTGAAGTGGTGTAGAGTGGAGACGGGGCGGGAACATGATACGATTTACGAATGGTGGAGTTATAGATGGATTAAGTGGCGGTAGATCTATGGATTGTTTCAAACACTGTGTTAGTATCGAAACCATATTCCTCCGGACATGAACATGTACGCCGTTGGAATGGCTTGCAAGAATATTGGCTACAGAATGGCGACAGCCGACAGCGTGATGAATGATGCTACCATTGGTCTGGAAATCATTTTCTGGAACCAATAACCGCGTTCTGTACTCACCATCTGCACGACGGCGAAGTAAAGCTAAACATGCTTATTCCAAACACGCTAAGTCGCGGCTTCACATGATGTTGGATGCAGCCCCACCCACCCCCCAGCTTACCTAGATACCTCAACATCTTCTCCAACGTGTCCAGACAGTACAGTCTCCCTCGCTGCTAATCACACGCGCAAAGATGATATCGCACATAGCTACTTTGATCCTGACTATCGCATATCTCACGTTTGTCCTCGCTGAAGTCGCACCAGAAATCACAATCGTCGCTGAAGGCTACAACGTGATCGCCAAGCTGCCTTGTGCTGGATGTCCGTACCTCTACCAAGATACCTCGAAAGGCAGCGATGAGCCCTGGACACAAAGAAAAGACCAGAGTGCTTTGGTATGCGCAATTCTATTTTTCCGCCATGTATATTGCACATGCTGATTTTGAAAAATGCCCAGCTCTTGAACATCTCTCTACCGTACGACTCGGCGCACCTGAGCATCAACAATGCAGCACTATTAGCAAACAACAAGATACTACCTCGGATCTACGTCAATCAGGTTCTGGAAGATATTTCGAAAAACGACCTCTCGAAGCTTATTGATTCGAACCAGCTCGACAGCCTCGGTAGCAGCTATTTCGGCGCATCCTACTCGTACACGCTGCGCCGCATCAAAGACAAGCCGCAAGCGCTCTTGTTCCACTTCGACATTATGGAGCTATGGATCGATCTTACGTCTCCGCCTCTAACCATTGTGCTGGACGACGCAGAGCAGAAGATTCTTGAATTGGTCTTGTTGCAGCGTCCCCTGCTCTCCCCAGGCGATCTAACAGGCGCCTATGAAATCATCCGCGCCAACTTAATTACGCGCCCGCCCGCGCCCGCCAAAGGCACCAAGCGCCGTGCCAAAGTCACCTCAATGTGGTTCCTTGACTGGGATGACCACGGCAAGAAGGGCACGGCGACGCATATCGTCAATTCAGCTTCTTCCTCTCTCATCGCATACATCAGCTCAGGTGTCTGGGCCCTGTTCGTCTTCATATTCGCCATCATCGGCTTATTCGTTGTCGTATGTCTGTTCGTCATATTTGGATGTGGGTGGTGCAGCGATAACGACTATGAGATTGCGCAGCATGGGAAGAGGAAGAGCAGTTCCAGTGCAAAGGGGGTATGGGGCGGCAAGGACGTTGAAGCCGCGAGGAGATTCATGAGTCCTGAGGAGTTGGGACTTAGGGGGAGTGGAAAGGTTGTTGGGGTGGGCAAGAGTGATTGATTGATTCATCTATTGAATTGAATTGATGGGATTGGGTTTGTGTATAAAACGCGTTGCGATGATATCCATTTCTTTCCTGGCCAAAGTAACACGCCTTTGGAAGCCCTGATCTTCTTCACCAAAACATCAGCGAGCATTGCAATCCCTTTCTCCGCATTAGTCCACTCCCCGCTGAACGTCGTCAGGGTCCCCAGGATCCATACTCCAATCCCATCGCCAATCCTCCTCCCCCACCCACATCTCCACACTTCCACTTCCACCTCCACTTCCCTGCCTCGCGGCTCTTACGCAGCGATCCGCAGCCCCGCTCATCTCAGCCGCCGCCGCCGACGTCGAATTCCAAATCTCGGCTTCTAGCCCCCCCGACGACGATGAAAGAAACCCAACGTTGATATTTCTTTTTAGCAACCAAAGAAATGTACGACGTCATTCCGCCCCTTTCCGCACGCGCCTAACGTCATTCATCCAGATGGGCACGGGCTAGGCGGAGAGCCAAGGATATTTCTCATTGCTGCGATTGCGGCTTGTTAGCTAAGGCTTAGTCTGGTTTGCGATCGTGGACTATGGGCTTTGGTGTTGGTGTACAAAGGGCTGGACTGGGACGGTGGTGATGGTGGCTAGAACTAGAATGTTGTGGTGGCCCCGCGGCACGTTGGTTGGTTGGTTGGTTGGTTAGTCAGTTAGTTAGTTAGCATAGAGATGTGCTTGTCACTGCCAGCTGCTACTGCTACTGGTGTGAAAAGCGTCATCATGCCGAGGTGCTGATGACAACATAGATGGGAAGCTCTGGGTGGGTGGTGGGGGGGATGTTGATATAGAAGGGAAGCGATCAGTTCGTCTGAAGGAAGAATATTTAGATTTCAAGAGTCTTTACAAACCATCCAACTGTCTTCTTTTGAACAAGCGGGGGACAACATGGCTATCACCAATACTTCGAGTACCGTGCAGGGTATCTTCTCGCTGCATGTCATCACAGCAGGATGCAGCATCATCTTGTTTCTGGCTGCCATTGCGCTGTTTGCCAGACAGGTCACTGGTGGACCGGCGCGACCACGCATGTTTATGCCGTTTTGGCAGTCGACGGGAAAGGGACATAGGTAGGTTCTCCAGTCTTCTCCCTCCTATATCCACACCGTAAAAAAAAGAACAGGAAATGGGGGAAAATACTAACACTATACTCAAAAGTGCTGCAGCCACGCACTTCTTCGTCATCTCGGGCCTCTTCTGCCTTCTCCTCGCGTACAGCACGCAATCCGCCATCGTAGCTTTGCAATCCCGCTTCCCAGGCTCTTCTTTCGCCATCACGCCCGCATACTCATATCCCCGCTATACCAGCGCCTACGGCTATAACCCCGACATCCCCTACGCGAAAATCATCTCCATCCTGTCCTTCCTGTACCAATGCGCCTGCATCCTGCTCCAAGCCTGCATCGTGGGCGGCATCTGGATTCTGGCCAACCACATGCACAGCAACGGGACGCATATCCCCGAGCCAGGGTTCTTGAGCCTCGTGCTGAATGCATTTTGGCTGGTCGCTATTGTCGGGCTGGGGCTTGCGAGCTGGATTGTGGGACTTGCGAGGCGCGGCAGTGGGAATAGTGCGAGCGCGTATCCGGAGATGGTACAGCGCGATTATACGGCGCGCACGCTGTATGTGACGTACGTGGCTGTGGTGATTACTGCGTCGATGAGTGTGACGATTGAGGCGGTGTTGTGTTGGATTGGAATGAGGAAGCATGGGAGGGTCGGGGTGAGTTACTTTCTCTTTCTCTTTCTCTTCGCTCCTTAACACCCTCTTTACCCTCCTTTTTTTTCCTCTTCTCTCCCTGGAGAAATAAGTGAATCGTAATTAACGTATCCCCTCTAGAACCGCTTCCAAGCCCCCCTGACTAGACTTATCGCACTCGTCACGCCGCTCGTGTGGATCCGCAACTGCTTCTCCATAGCACAGATTGTGATTATATACTACAACGTGACAAACTGGTCGCGCACGACAAACCAGGCCCTCGCATTCCTCTTCATCATCTTCGGAGAGCTGTGCGATCTGGGGATCCTGGCTGTGCTGTTGCTGGGAGCTTGGAGCTTTGGACGCCGCGATGAGGTGCCAGAGGGTGCGGTCAAGGAGGTGCGGTATAGCGAGAGTGTTGTGAGGGATGATATTGCTAGGTGAGCTTTCACCTTTTGGGGAGGGGGGTGAGGTTGAATGTCGGTATGGATATATCTACAATTGTAGAGGGGGATTGAGAAGAAAGGCAGCGCCTGTATGGGTGACGAGTAATGTGTGGTGATGAGATGTTACGAGACTGGAAAACTTCCTTCTGAAGCGTATTATCCTGTATAACGATTTAATGACGAATTTATGAACCCAGCACAAACCCTGTGTCTACGTGATCCTCGTCCTACATGCATATACCAAGTGGAGAGTGACAAGTTAACTTGCGAACCAGATGCGTACATATCCGATTCTAGTGCTACTTGCAAGATGCTGTCACTCGGCTTCTTAGAAGTAGGCAGCATTCTCGTACTGGGGATGGTAGCAGGAGGTTAATTCCGAGTTGGTGAAACTGCGAATCATCAACAAGGTACAAGGGGCCGGCTCAGAGTCTTGTATCACCTGATATCTTCATGTAAATGCATATTTCCACTTATATTGTTTCTATACATGTGATGAGTTGGAGTTGCACGCCTTTGCGCATACCATGCCTGAGCCAAAACAGGTTAGCGTAACACGCGCGGCCGTGCGAACGATGACGACAACGCGATCTGTGACTTCGATGATACCGAATGCCATTTATGCACAGGGTACAGCGGACTTTACCATTGAGGCAGTCTTTTCCGACAACATTGTTTCAATAGTTCGGCACTTGCTGCAGAGGCATACTCACGTTCTGATGAGACGGCAAGCCAAAGACCCCACCATTCCAAGCAAACTCACCATTCTATATATCTCGTCCCACCTCTCCGTCCCTACACCTTCTCGTATCGCAATCAAGAACAACAATGCTGAAACCCACAGACATTCCCTCCTTCGCGGCCTCGCAACTCAGGCTGCTTGATGCGGAACTGCAAGCCGAAGTCTCTGAAACCAATGCGCTCCTCTCATCGCACACGCCAACCGCCCTGGCGCGCGCGGGTCTCGCAATCCTGAATCTTAACGTGTCTTCTATACGCACAGGGCTAGGCGGCAAGACGGTTGTCGAGCTAGGGCTCGACTCGGCGGTTGTGGCAAAGGGCGCGAAGCCCGACATCCCTGAGCACGGCATACGTGTGGGTGATATAGTGGCCGTGCAGGACCAGCCGAGCGGGAGCGCAAAGAAGACGGAGAAGAAGGAGCTGGAGAAAAAGGGCGCCGAGGGCGTAGTGCTGAGGGTGCGCCGCGAAAATGTAGAGGTCGTGCTCGACAAAGAGGATGCTGATGTCCCGGCTGGCAACAAACTATGGATGTCAGTCTACCACACGCGGTGGACGCTTTGGAGAGTAGCGACAAGGCGGCTGATATATGGATTAGAGTCAAATTGGCCAACGACGTCACCTACAAGAGGTACGCGCCTTTGCTACATACACACTTCCCCAGTCTCTGCGTGATTTGCTCATCCGCCATAGGATGAACCAGACCATGAGCCGGCTGCAGAAGCTCGAGGATCAGGAGTACACGCCATTTTTGCGCGTGCTGTTTGGACAGGCATCTCCAACGCCTCTCCCGTCGGATCTTGATGATCCTTCGAATCCCCTGCACAAGCTCGAGTGGAATGACGCTTCACTGAACGACAGCCAAAAGGAAGCTATTCGATTTGCACTGGCCTCGAAAGAAATAGCCCTCATCCACGGGCCACCAGGCACGGGCAAAACACACACGCTAATCGAGCTCATTCTACAGATGCTAAAACAGAATCTGCGCCTGCTAGTATGCGGGCCGTCCAACATATCGGTAGACAATATTGTGGAACGGCTCGCTTCCCACAAGGTACCTATGGTGCGCTTGGGACATCCCGCGCGCCTACTGCCGTCGGTTCTGAACCATTCCCTGGACGTGCTCATGCGGACTTCAGAGGCCGCTGCGCTGGTGCAAGACGTCCGCAAGGAAATGGACGAGAAGCAAGCGTCGATTCGCAAGACGCGCAACGCCAAAGAACGACGTCAGATCTACACTGAGCTCAAGGAGCTGCGTCAAGAGTACAGAGAGCGCGAAAAGGGATGCGTCAACAGCCTTGTGACGGGCAGCAAGGTAGTGCTTGCCACGCTGCATGGAGCCGGGGGGTTCCACGTCAAGGGACAGGTGTTTGACGCTGTCATTGTCGACGAAGCAAGCCAGGCCTTGGAAGCGCAATGCTGGGTTCCACTCCTCTGGGTCAAGGCCAGCAAGCTGGTGCTGGCTGGCGACCACCTTCAATTGCCACCGACGATCAAGTCGGTCAACGGCAAAGATGCAAAGGCGGCGAAGAAGACCAAGGATAAGAAGACGGAGGCCGGAACAGGCGACCAGCCGGTGGCGAAGCCGGCACATGGCATAACTTTGGAGACGACGCTGTTCGACCGGCTCTTGTCCTTGCATGGCCCTTCAATCAAGCGTATGCTCACGACGCAATATCGCATGCATGAGAAGATTATGCGCTTCCCCTCGGACGCGCTGTACGACTCACAGCTCATGGCGGCCGACTTTGTCAAGGACCGACTGCTCACGGGCCTCGAGTACGAGGTGCAGCAAACGGAAGATACGCAGGAGCCTCTAGTCTTCTGGGACACACAGGGCGGTGACTTTCCGGAAAAGGCAGAGGACGAAGGCGTAATTGGCAAAGGCGGCAAAGGCATGATGCTCGGCGACAGCAAGTCCAACGAGGCAGAGGCCGCATTGGTCAGGCTGCACGTGGGCAATCTAATCAATGCTGGTGTCAGGGCGGAAGATATCGCCGTTGTGACCCCATACAATGCACAGGTACGTCTTGTTTCCGTCCCCTGCGCCGAATCTGCAGGTGCATTATCAAGAGCATCCACATGGACCCCCCCGCGCACGCACGTATGCAGACGTAGACACATGGAGTGGGGTGGATGGGAAGGCTGACGGTGTTAGCTTGCATTGCTTGCTGGAATGCTCAAAGAAGAATATCCCGGGATTGAGCTGGGGTCTGTGGATGGGTTCCAAGGGCGTGAGAAGGAGGCGGTTGTCGTCAGCACAGTGCGGAGCAACGCAGAGCATGAAGTTGGCTTCCTGGGCGAGAAGAGACGACTCAACGGTACGTCCCAGGCTTGTGTCGCCAACCCCACGCCACAATCTATCCACACCGAGGGATGCAGGCATGGCGAAACAAGGCTGCGCCGAAAGAAGATGCCCCCCATCCTCCGTGGTGAGCCCAAAACAGAATGCTAACGAGAACGTCTGGGTGTAATTTTAGTGGCCATGACGCGCCCTAAGCGACATCTCTGTGTAATTGGAGACTCGGACACTATCAGCAAGTAAGTATCCACCTGTCCCGTTCCTAATATATGACCCCAGCAGCGGTTCCCGCCCTCGTCACCCATCCGCTTTGGGGACCTGAAACTCAAAGGGCCGTGTGGGGCATTGGCCGTCGCCCGTTGTCGGGCAGATGATGAAACCGGTTGTTACAATGGAACCGGCGGCCGTGACAAGACACGGCTCTTCGTCGTCGTGGTCGTCGTGGTCGTCGACCCTGCCCCCCCCCCTCCCCCTTGTCCTGTCACCTGAATAATACAGTCGGCTTCCCCTGTCATGACGGGCTGCATGCCTTAGCAGCCCCCCCTCCAGCCCCAGCCCCGCGCGCGCGATATAGCCGATGGCTTGGCCTCTTTTTTGTCACAAAAAAGCAATTTCAACGGGCATGCAGGCGTGGCCAGGCAAAACAATTACTCGCTGACTGACACTTTTGCGAACTAACGAGTAACACGTAACTAACTTTTTTGACTTGTGTCGTGTGTAGGGGCTCCAAGTTTCTCCATGGGTGGATGCGCCATCTCGAAGAGCATGCCGATCTCCGGTACCCTGACCTGGCAGACGTGTACGTGGACGCAGGGAAGTAGGTGGGTGGAAGCGCGCGTCTTTGGTGCGTTGCCCATGGGTGTGAGGTCATTGTTGGTGTTTGGTTGGCGTTGGTGGTATGGCGGGGGTAGGGCAGGGCAGGGCAGGGTGAGGACCGGTGGGCCTGACTGGAGAGCGAGCAGAGTTGACGGGTGGCGGCATGACCCCAAACAAAGCCTGTCAGAGAGGTCTGCGGTTCGCCATGTATCTATGTACACGGAGAGAAGCAAGTGAGATGTGGGGAAGATGCTGACATGCGGGTTGTTGTGGCGCCATGATTGGAGGAGCTGTCCAAGCGCCGTGGCTCCCTCTCCCTTGTCGATACACAGTCTCTCTCCTCGGGCGATTGGACGTGGTTTGGCGAAGCGGCGGTAGTGGCGAAGTGATGCGAAGCGAAGCGGAGTGAAGTGAGAGTCCAGCCAATTCCTCATGGCTTGCTTTGGTGCCCATGACTCTGGGCTGCAGTAGTTCGGCGTCAAACAGCGCGTAAGAGCATGAGCTTGAGACAAGAAGCGCTGCCGACTGCCCGCTCTCTGCTGCGATCAAACACGCGCAACAGCGAGTTGTCTTTGTTTTTCTGGGTGGCCTGAGGCATTGGCGATGCAAAACACGGTGATATGGTAAGACGGACGAGGGGGGTGAGGGGGGTGAGGAGGGGTGCCATGCTGTGCATGTGTGGCGCGCAGATTGAATTGGGGCGCGTATGAACGAGCCAATGCACGAGCCAGGCTGACTGGCAGGCTGGTAGACTTTCTTTCCTCTCTCTCTCTCTCGTCGCTGCACCACGATAACACGGCGGCACGACACGGTATCACGGTACGGTAAAGGCAGGCAACGCAGAGGGAGCAATGCGAGTAATGGCGTGCTTACACACGAACTTGTGTTGATGAACGCCAGGGTCTGCGCGCGTGGTTCATGCTTTGGGAGGCTGCCGAGTCGTGGGTTTTTCAATACAATGGCGCAGCGCCAGACTGTGCTAACTGGCAAACTAACAAGCCAACTAGTAACTGACTGACGGAATAGATACGGAGCTTTGATGCGGGCGCAGCAATAGCAATAGTAGAAGAAGAAGAAGAAGAAGAAGAAGAAGGAAAAGGAAAAAAGATCGAGCTGAGGATTGGCAGTGCACAGGAAGAAAGATGAGCATGGTCAAAGCCATGGCGTGGCAGTGCCAGCGCAAACTCAGCCACGAAAAGGCTAATTTCCGATTATTTATTTATTTTATTGAATCGAATTGAATTTCCAACGGAGCGGCGGCGGAAGCAGGCAAAGGAAAGACAGAATCAAATCAAATACTCAAAACACGGTCGAACTCTCGGTACAGCTGCTGTTGTGCGCGCCCATGACCAAGCCGTGTGGATTACATCAAGACAGCGTGTATGTATGCCAAGCAGAAGCAGAAGCAGAACAAGACAGGCGCGTCAGTAGGGCGTACCAAACAACGAATGGAACGCGCCATTGCTCGAGAGAGCGCGTGGAGCAGAAAAAGAGAAGACGGATGGCTATGGCGCGAGAGGGACGGCAGCCGTAGCGGGGCCCTCACACACCCCAGGCAGTCAAGGGGGTTTTAGTGTGTAGAGCTTCTCAAACACGTTAATGCACAGGCCCAGCAGGGGGGGGGCGGCTTCGGACTTTACAGCGAACACACACACACACACAGAGAGAGAGACGGCCGGACAAAGACGATTGAGGGCGTCGGAATGGACTCAATGAAATGCTGGACCAAGGAACACGACCCCCCCCCTCTCCCGACGACCCCCCCATCAGGCCATACTCATAGCAGTGTGTTGGCCGTATTGGGTGCATGCAAGCTGCATGGATGCATCAAAACGGGGATACGGCGTTGGCAATCGATATGGTGCATGCACGCGCCGTCCTTCTCTTTTCCCTTTTTCTCTCTCTCTCTTTCTCTCTTCCTCTGTTCTCTGGCCTCGGTGGCTGGCGCGCTGTTCTGGCGCTGTTCTCGGGCTACCCATGCGTTCACGCTCGACAACGGTATCTGAAACATCGGTCGGCCTGTTACCCTTTTTCCCCCAGCCTGGTCCCTCCGCAGCCATACATACATGCACACATACCCTCTACGTAGTACACGTACATAGATATACATGGCCATGGGTGGGCCACCGGACAGACCCAACCGGCCGCCGACATACATATGGTGGTGGTAGTGGTGGTGGCCAGTCAGCCAGCCAGCCCAGCCCAGCCCAGCCCAGCAGCCTCCCAAGCCCCGACTGTGGATAAACCCTAGCTCGACGTCCCGGCAGCGCAAAACCAAGGGCCCGTCTCCAAGAACGAACGAACTGCTGCTTGCCGTCGAAAAAAGAAGCCGCCGGCCGACCGGCGGAGTCTGGGCAGCCGGCGGCGGCGACGGCGAAGGTGTTGGCGGCCAGCACGCCATGTCATGCAGCAGAACTGCAACCAACGCACCAACAAACCCTCTTTTTTTCTCTTCCTCGGGCCTCTCCTCTCATTCCGTTGCAAAAAAAAACGGCCATGCACACGTCTGCAGCTCCATTCTGCAACGCTTGTGCAGCGGCGGTAACAGCATCAGCGCCAGCAACCAAACAGCCATTCCGGTGTGTGTACGAGTGTGCGCGCCGTCAGTCAGTCGTGAGAGAGAGAGAGAGAGAGAGAGAGAGATGGGAGCGAAGGGCATGGCCGGGCTTGGGTAAAGCCGGGGCCATGCCTGCTGCCGGTCATACTGCTTGATTCGCCAAAATACGCCATTTCCATTCTATTATAGCTTCTTACTACTTTCCCGCCTCCGACAAAGCCGTCTCCCTCCCCTTCACACCCTTCACACCCCCCCTCGCCCTCCCCACTCCACTCCACTCCACTCTAATGGTACCCTGGCCCAGAAAACGGTACATGACGCTGCTGCACTTGTGCCTGTGTGCCTGCGCCTGCGCCTGTCCTGCCCTCGTCCCCGTCTGATACTTTAGGGCCCTTGACCGCGCCCCCGCCACCCTTTGTCCCCCTCCCTTCCCTCTTGCTTGCTCTCTCTCTCTCTCTGCTGCCCTTGTTGCGCTGTGCTCTCTTATGCCACTGCATAGTCTTATTATTCTTATCCCCCATCCTCCCCTCTTCCCTTGTTTAACCTCGTCGCTCTTTGTTCCGTCCAACCAGACCCCCCTGGCCTTTTTTTCTTCTTCTTCTTCTTCTACTTCTTCTACTTCTCTTCTTCTTTTCTTCTTCTTTTCTTCTTCTTGCTTGATGCTCTTTTGTTAATTCCCTTTGCCCCACACCCCCGGCCCTGTCCTGTTTGCCTTGACCGGCGCCTATATACCGGGATCAAGCACCATTGTGCATTTGCCGCGCTTGTCGCCCTGGTGTGCTTTCGTCCGCCGCTCTTTTACGAATGTGCCGCCATTGACACGAGTGATGACGATGGTTGTTGCCCGAGGCCTCTATCTGAACTAAGTCATCCCTGTCGTAGCCGCGTGAGCGCAATTTCCAGAAGCGGCCTGCCCGAAACCCGCCCGACTCGACGTCCTTGACCTTGTCGCGTCGCCGTCGCATCTTCTCCCCATGCTTCAACGAGAAGGCTTCGTCGTCACCGATATGAGTGCGTCGGCCTCGTCGCCTTCGCTGCTCGAGCGCTCCAGCTGGAAGGCAGAGGCTATCCGAAAGGGCAGTTTGAAAATCAGCGGGCCCATTCCCATCACCGAGGATATCCCGCTCAACGACGAGGAAGAGAAGGAGTATGCAGAGAAGAACGCGCAAAAAGCCCAGAAAGCCCAGGACCAGCAGCCATTGAAGCCCCAAGAGGCACCTCAAGAAGAGCAGCAGCAACAACAGCAACAGCACCAAGAGCCTCCACCTCCGCCAAGGCCTGTCAATTCCCCGCCCCCACTCCCAGTTTCGGAGCATCCCTCTGCATTGCGCGCAAATCCTGTTTCAGAGCAGCCCGAGCAAGACGAGGAGGCGCGCGAGCAGCGTCCGTCGAGATCGCCGCCGCAGAATATGCGTCTGTTGAGTGCTTCGCAGCGCCAAAGCCTGGCTCCACAGAGCACCCTTGCTTCTCCCACGCCTTTTCGGTCCACACCCGAAAGTACAGCAAAGACCACCACCACCCAGAAGAAGCGCAAGAGCGGGCTCAGAAATGTTTTCCGCAAAATGTTTGGTAAAAAGCCCGCCGAAACAGCGGCGCCTCCGCAAGAGGACGATTCGACGCGCCGAGGCCATAGCTACCACCACAGCGTAAGTCACCATCGTCGAGCTTGCCAGGCCGGACTTCTAACACCAAACAGGATCCTGGTATGCTGAGATCAACGCCTCCGCCAGAGCAGAGAGAGGTTCCGGAATCAAGGGTACCGCCAAAGGCGGCAACTCCCGTAGGACCTCGCATCTCCGATCTGCCCGTCAAGGAGCTCAAGCCGTTGCACCCATTGGGCCAGCATTTGCCGTATCCCATGAATGTCAATGCACCGCCAGTCAGTCCGCCACAGGAGTACCTTACTTTCGACGTGGCCAGAGCCGAACTTGGTCGCCGGAGAGCTACGCTTCCCACTGTGCCTACTGCAGCCGCGAATCGCCACAGTCTGGACGAGTCAAGGCCGAAAATGCCAGCGTGGGAGGAAAAGGGCGAAGAAGGTGGTGAAGTGTCGCCGACGAGGATCGGCATCGCAGTATCCAGCCCGGGCCAGGGGACGTCAAGGCAACACAAACGCCGATCCAGGAGTGCAGATGCGCTCCATAGCCTTGCAAAGGAGCTTGCCGCCAGCGAGCGGAGAAGGAGCGACGAGATCAAGTACTGGAGGGAGAGCTACATGTCGGGTAGCGTGTACAGTCGACCCGAGACAGCCAAGACGGTAGAAACCTTCCGCAGCGTGCAGACGCAAGAGCCGACCATCCGGGAGCCAGAAGGAGGAGATGCCTTCAACGAGATGAGCGCCACATTCGTGCAAGCCGACGATCCACATTCACCAACATCGGTGACGGAACGGCAAAGGAAAGAGGAGGAAGGAGAAGAAGATGCAGACGGACAGGCTTCGTCCGTCTCAGATTTCAATTTCGGCGATTTCAAGCACGCCGTCTTCGGACCGCCGGAAGAGCCAGCACCAGCACCAGAACCAGAACGTGAGCCAACTTCCCAACTGCGCCAAGTCTCGTCGGCCCCACCACCTCTACCACCGCAAAGTGATAAACGCCTATCGTTGGAGGACCGTGTCTCGCACCTCGAATCGAGATACACGGTGCTCGAAACGCTTACTCGCCGCATATCGGCCACCACCAACAGACAGACCATCATCCTCGAGAATCCACCCCGCACCATGCGGTCCAGAGACCGAAGTGCATCCGCCGCCTCTGCGTCGCGGCGCCATTCAAGATCCGCGCCGAGTATCCACCAAGAGCCTCATCGTCCTAGCACGAATGAGGCAGTAGAAGCCGCTGCTGCACCGGCATCACCCACATTCACCTCACCCGCCCATATTGCCTCCAGCAGCGAAGAACGCGCCAGTGCCCTTCAAGACGTCTACGCCGCGCTCCAGGTCGAGCGGACCGCAAGGCTGGCACTGGAAGAAAAAGTCCAAACACTCCAATACGACATTTCCAATCTACACACCCTGGTAAACAAGCTCATTGCCAGCGGTTCTGCCGCATCACCATCGTATCCCACGCCCTCTCCGGGCATGCTCATCATGTCGTCCGAGGGCAGCGACCAGCGCATGAACTGCGCCACTCCTCGAGCTTCGTCACATGACCAGCGCAGCAGTCTCTACAGCCAGGCTGCCCAAGGTGCCCAGCATGACTGGAGAAATGACGCCGAGAGCGTCTACTCTACTGATCTTCCTTCCCAAGACGGCGTCACATCGCCAGACGAATGGGCCACGCCAAAGGAGGAAGGCTTTACTGGAAGTGGTTTCTTCCAGCCCGATGGAAAGGCCAGGCCGCATTGAAGTGTTTTTTGCATGATGAGTGTTGTTACTTTGCTGGATTGATGAAGAGAGAGAGCTTCCTTGCCAGTATTATTCACGGCCTCTTGGATGTTTTTTAAAAGATACCCATCGCCGGCGTTTTTGTCTGCTGGCGTTTTCTATTTTTCATTCTCAAACTTGTATTGTCTATTGAGCCAAATTTTCGCCGTCCACTTTCGCTTTTTTTTCTTTTTTTTCTTTTTAGACGAAACTTTTTATCTGCCTCTTGATTGATTGGAACTTGGATAAGTACGTACTGCGACTGTGTGTAAGCGAGCGAAATGAGAAAGCGGAGATTGTTTTTTTTAGCAAGTGGGCTTGCACAACGATATACGTGTGTTGAATAATAATATATCCTAAATAATGTGTTTTTGCTCACAGGTGCAAATGAGCTGAACGTGACCATGGTTGATGTGTTGGGAGTAAGTGAGGTGCAGGTCAAGTAGGCAAAGTGGAGTGGGGGACACCCCTTGCAAAGGAAAGGGAAAGCCATGATATCCTTGGGCTTAACTCGTCGACTTATTATCTCACATACATGTCTTGCACATGCCCTACACAGTAACACGTGAAGTTGTACAACCAATGTCTCTTGGCTAGACACACCAGTACCCATTTAATCCCGCAACCGGCAAGGCAGCCGCCACCAGTCCTCGCTCGACTAGCACAGCTAAGATCCACAAGCCATCTTCCAACTCTCGTGTAGATATCCCTTCAGGGCTCTTATTCGTCTCGATGCTCGCAATGGACATGTCACCAAGTGTGAGTCCCAGGAACAGCGCCGTATACAGCCTATATCACATGCTGGATATGCATGGCAAGACGGTGTTTGTAGTCTTTGCGCGGAATAACAAGCAGCTGTAGATAATGACGGTCGCAGTAGCAAATATGAGGCAGAAGATGCCTAGCAGGAAAATGCGTCATAGTGTACATGACCACGCCTGCACTCAGCGGCACAACGGCACCACACCCCCCCAGAGAACACACAGAGAACACAGTCAGAACGCAAAGCTGCCCCAGGATTCACCCGGAGTCCGGAACCCAGCTGGCTCGGCATCTGTGGCTAGCAGCGATTCCAGGCCCCCCTACTGCGAGAGTCAATGGTGTTGTTGACTTGGCGGTAGTGGTCCTTGGTTAGGAATGTGGATGTGCTCAGTGACGACGACGCCATTTCGCACGACAAATTCCGCTGTAGCTTGCGGTGCGCGTACCCATACTTCGTCGTCGGTCAACCACGCGGCAGCACACAAGCGCAAGAGCCCCAGGATAGCCAGCGGGGAGAAAATCCTATCCACCCCGAACCCCGATGCTACGGTAGTCGGCAAAACCGGAGACCGCGACACTGCCCCCGATGAGCAGGTACAGCGCCGAGACGCCCGCCGGTAATCGCGGCGTAAGTAGCGCCATATAATGGACGTGGGGTTGTACTTACATGGAGAGTTTGTCGTACCAGCGCGGTGGCTGGTCCGTCAGGTATGTTGCTGGTGGTGCATCTGAAGCTACGTGCTGTGGGAAATGGGAGTGTCTGTGTTAGTATGTGTTGGAGGACAGAGATTGGTATGTGGTGGATCAGATTGAGAGAGAATTGATCAGATTGCCTCTTGCTATCTGTAGGACTCAAATCTATCGAAATATATAGACATGCCAAGGAGGACATATCCACTAACTGGTCATCACGTTGCTGACCTACACAGTACGTCTGATCAAGTACTCTGATTAGTCACTTGATCAGATGATGCTGGGTGCTTGATCCATACCGCGACAGTATGGATGTGTTTTTTTTTGGCAGATTCCTGTGGTTGACAACGTACAGTGATCAATCATGCAAAGCAGACTGTTAGCAGCGCGATCTAGTCGGAGAAATCAATGCATTTGCTGTTAGTAGCTCAAAGGCTCAATATGGATTTCTAGTTTGGCCATTTGGGAGTTCGGCGTTGCTTTCGTAAACGAGTGTCGGTTAAGAGAAGTAAGTTTCTTGGAGGGTGTGTAGATGATTGAAGTGACAAGGCGGACGTAGCGTAGCTGTTTTTGTTTTCGTATATATATATATTGCAATACATGGAGTTAGCACAAGATCAAGGTGAAATGGACATCGCGTACTGGTTGGCTGTACATCCCCACGAACTCTTCTTTTTTCCCTCAAAAGATGGGTTTCTGTGGCACAGATAAAAGAAGCAAGGGTAGATGTTCGCGGTAGTAGATATTCACAGTATCTGCATCACTACTGATGGAGTCGACAACTGACAAAGACTCTTAATGTTTCGCGCTTATTGTACGCGAGGCTGGACCTAAGTAAGATGTTTTCTGGCCAGTGGGGTTCGCGCGTAACGTCGAGAACTCTTGAGGCTGACTTCTGTCCTTTCGGCCCACACAGCACGGTATGAAGAGTTGATTCGATGTATTGCGAGAAAGGGGGCTTCCTGTTGATAGGTATTGTGGGGGTAACGAGGTTTTTTGTGGTGGCTTTTTCCCTGTTTATGTTCGTGTGGTAGATTGCACACAGAGTTTACAATGGTGTAGTAGCGCGCACGTGACTGATTTCGGGCGTAGTACAACAACGATAGCTATAGCAGGTAAGGCAATTATACTCTCACCTGACAGCTTTGTAATGCTCCTTTACTTTTGCCTTTTTCACAATCGCAAGCTTAAGCCATTACTGACTTGTAGAATTTCTTGTCGCAGTGCAATAGGTCCCAACATTAGGGGGTACAGGTATTCCCCTGAAGCAAGCATGTATGACTTTCAGCCATTTCTATGTACTTAGTAAAATCAATGTACACGACATAAAAACAGAAATAGACTAGCTGCTATTGCTCACTAAGAGCGGATGTATCGGTAAGCGTACGATTTTGTAACATACGCGGCCTAATTACGGATCTTGCATTGCGCATTGAAGAAACATTGGAATGAGATGGTAAGTAACAATTGAACATGCATGTATAATTTCCTAACTATAGAAGCAGAAATTTCCCGGCCACGATGACGACGCAATTCGATGCTGACAGCAATCTATCTAAACTCTAGTTATGACACTTGCCCTTGCTTCTGATCGGACGTATTCATCCCTTGAGGTGCTGATCGGCATCATGAACGGGATACTGCCGTCTTCTGGCTACTCTCTTTCTATGAAGGTATCTCGACAGAGAAGCGGTGGAAAAATCTCGTTTTAGACTTATTCGAGTGCGCAAGCTAAAAGCCACTGAAGGCCCCATTGAGTAGCAGTGCCTCTCTAGTTTTCTCTTATTGTGCCGAAATTCCCACTGATTATGTCTTTGCAGTCGGTATTTCTTCGGTACGCATGCCTAACACAGGTGCCTTCGCCAAGGGTCACCTTTCGCTCCGCGGTTCCATTACCGGATGTTCCGGAAACTGCTGGTCCTAGGTACGGACTAACCTGGGGTATTTTCACATGGTATGTGACCAGCGCTGCAAGGAATTTCCCCGTTGTTTACCGAGGCGTTAATTCTTGATCTCAGCGTCAATACTTGGAACGCACTGACTGTCTGGTTTAGTCAAAGTATGGAGGAGAATGCCATTCCCTACCCCGCATTCTCGGTCGAGAGAGGCTAGGCAAACTATGCCAGAGCGGTAACATCTCCGTTGTTAATACACAAACGGTCGACTACTGGCTGAGCCACGTAGCGCGCAAGAATACCGATGTGAACTAGGCATTACTGTCCGGAATATTACAGCCGTACATTTCCTGGCAGCTGACACACCACTACACGAGAAGGCTGTCAACCATGCAATACCTCACCTTTTGGGTATGCCCAACTTCCTCAGGCTTCCGAGAAAAAGGAGATTAATGCAGAAGCCACCTCCCCATTGCCATTGCTACTGAAAATAGTCTTGGTTGTGGTCTCTGGTGAATCAGATGCCATCGGTACATGGCCACATGCCGCATGACCTACTACCCAGCACCCATAGCCGCCTGAAGCCAGGTGACCTCTGCCTTAACCCATTGTAGCCATTTCCCCTGACTGGAATACAGCGCTATTGGGCATGGTAGATCGCACTGATCCTTCCCGCACTACACTCTTCGGACGAGGCTGATATAGCTTACTCGATCCAATGCAGTCCCACATACGCTCCAGGAACCTGGAATAACGCTTAAGACATGGGTATTTCTGCAGCAGCGGTGAACTTAAGCCTTCACCGAGAATTTGTGGGGGAACCATCACATGGACATGATCGATTTTATCTTCGCCCGAGGTTTGTTGTTGTGGAGACGACCTGCTCGCTTGTGATACTAAATTCGCCAGGCAGTTAAGTACCTAGCTACACAACCACTGAGCAGATGTCACAAAGCCCTCGCGTTTCAATTGTTACCAAACCCAAGGGCTGAGGAAGAAAGCATCCCACCATGAAGTTTCTATCCGCCCTGGCGTGCGTCCCCTTGGTTTGCGCAGTTCCGGCACCCCTGGAAAAGCGCGCAAACCCTACGGTCATCGCACCGCTCCCCAAAGCCACAGTTGCTGGTGTCGAGGCACTTAGCGTAGAGTCCTTCAAGGGAATACCTTATGCAAAACCACCTGTTGGCCAACTACGACTCAAGCCACCCCAGCCATTGACGGCAGATCTTGGAAATGTTGATGGAACTGGCGTACCTAGAGCATGCCCTCAGTTCCTCCTTGGCGTAGACAACCAAAACATCCCCGCCGATATTCTAGGAACGGTACTCAATCTGCCGCTGTTTCAAAAGATTACAAATGCTGGGGAGGACTGCTTGACCATCAACGTGCAGCGACCAGCCGGGACCAAGGCTGACGCGAAACTGCCGGTACTTTTCTGGATCTTTGGCGGCGGCTTCGAACTGGGCTCGACTCAAATGTACGATGGAACCAGTCTCGTTCGCGAATCTGTCGACCAGGGCAAGCCCATTATCTTTGTTGCTGTCAACTACCGCGTCGGAGGATTCGGGTTCCTGCCCGGAAAAGAAGTTCTCCAGGACGGCTCTGCCAACCTTGGACTGCTCGATCAACGTCTCGGTCTGCAATGGGTCCAGGATAACATTGGAGCATTTGGTGGCGACCCAGACAAAGTCACTATCTGGGGGGAGAGTGCTGGCTCCATCTCGGTACTCGACCAAATGATGTTGTATGACGGAAACATCAACTACAAAGGAAAGCCTCTTTTCAGGGCTGGAATCATGAATTCTGGTTCCATTGTTCCTACCGACCCTGTAGACTGCCCCAAAGGCCAAGCTGTCTACGACCAAGTAAGCCTTACTATGACAGTTCCGAGAATGCACGTGCTAACCATGCTATAGGTTGTTCAGGCAGCGGGGTGTGCAGGCTCAAGCGACACTCTAGCGTGTCTCCGCACAGTCCCATACACCACGTTACTCAATGCCGCCAACTCGGTCCCTGGTCTTTTGTCTTACTCTACACTCAATCTGTCCTACCTTCCCCGCCCGGATGGAAAGGCCCTTACCGCTTCCCCCGATGTTCTAGCTAAGGCTGGAAAGTATGCCAAGGTACCAATGATTATCGGCAACCAAGAAGATGAAGGCACGCTATTCAGTCTCTTCACCATGAACATCACGACGACTAGCCAGATAACAACCTATCTTTCCAGTATCTTCTTCAACAACGCTACTCCGCAACAGGTCCAAGACATAGTTAGCAGCTACCAGAACACCATCGAAGACGGATCGCCCTTCCGCACCGGCTTGCTCAACAACCTGAGCCCTCAGTTCAAGCGCATCGCCGCCATTCTCGGTGATCTAACCTTTATCCTGACGCGACGCCTCTTCCTCGAAACCGCAACCCAGGTGAACCCGGGCGTGCCAGCATGGTCGTACCTGGCTTCCTACGACTACGGAACTCCGATACTTGGTACTTTCCACGCTTCCGACCTGTTGCAAGTCTTTTTCGGTATTCTGCCTAATAACGCACGCACGACAATCACAGGTTACTACTACTCCTTCGTCTACAACCTCGACCCCAATGTCGGCAACGACTTGATGGACTGGCCGCAGTGGAGCCAGAGCAAGAAGCTGATCAACTTCAATGCAAACAGCAATGGTTATCTCGACGATAACTTCAGGAGTGACTCGTATGACGTCATCAAGAAGACTGTCGATAGCCTGAAGGTCTGAGTGGTCGTCACAACTGATTTCTACTTTTATTTAATGCCAACAAATAATGTTACAAGATTTTTTTTCCATGAAGAATGTGCCTTTATGAATTCGTACAATGATTACCAGTACTTTCGGACCATTACTGACACTGCACTGCCTAGAGAGGCGCTATCCGTCTCACCACGCCGACATGGATATCAAAAACCAAGCTTTTTTTTTCAATGCTTGGTACGGAGTTGAGCCGACACTTGGTTTCTTCAATGAAGCATTCCGGCCCACTAGCACCTGGCCACAATTAACAAATCTTGCCAGTAGAACGACTCCTACTGGCCTGAAAATGTTACACGTCTCGAAGCAGTAGTATTGCGCAAGGCGTCGCTCACTCGCGGAGAGCACGGCCATGCACTGCCACAACGATTACGCGATTAAAGCCGATACGACATACAGTAAGGCCGGCTGGGCCGCTTCCAAGCGTAAGATCGCAGCCCTGGATAGAGTGAATTGAGGGGGGGGGGCGCGGTCCACAGATAGCCGGCCGATCCAGTTCTGTAAACACAGTAGGTATTACATACACATGCCTTAGGCCGCCCCCTGCTTGCCAACCGCTGCAGGTCATGTGGCATAGAGCGGAGCAAACTCTATTCAGCGAGGTGCTTACTGTGCCAGTCTTGCCTACAAAACGCAATGCAAAAGACGGGTTGCGTTGCAGCGCTCTCGCGCCAGACATGCTGTTCCCTGCTTGACGAGTTCTGCGCTCGAGTCTGCAGCTTCAACATCAGCCTCTGCTACAAGCATTGTTTGCGCTGGACACGAACATCAGATCGCACAGCAAGCAAAACAAAAAAAAAGATCACCGAAGCACAAAGACTCCACAATTTGGAATAGCAGAAGGACGGAACTGGTAACCAATGCAAAAACAAAAAACGAATGACTCAGCCGAGGTTTGAACTCGGGACCTTCAGTGGCCCAACAATCGCTTGTTAGACTGACGTGATAACCAACTACACCACCGAGCCAGCTTTGCTGAAGAATGGGGAAAGCGCGACCCTTATGATGGCTACGATGGGAAAGAGCGTAGAGGCGGCGGTCGCTCCTGGTGAAACTGGTACGGTGTGGAGCCGAAATCGCGGAGCCATTGGTGCTATTCCACCCCACAATTTAGAGGGTCGATCTTTCCCACTGGAGAAAGTCACCGATGCTTGTGGCCCCCGGGTCCACAGCGTCTCGTACGAGCTTGACACGCCCCCCCCCCCAATGTTCTGGAGACGTTGGTCTCAAGTAGTCGAAACGACGCCGCACCAGCTCGCAGCACAAGTGTGGCGCTCCGCGACGGCGACGCCCAAAAACAGGTTGACAGTACACGAATTGCTCGTGTTTTAGGGCCTGGAGGTAGCGGAAAAACATGTTGAAGTATATGCTGTTTCATGGCGGCGATTTGTGTTTGGTTGAAACGGCTGGTGCGCGTATGGCACATCTCGCGGGGTGCGGTCTAACCACGAAGGGCATGGGTGATTTTCGTCTCAAGGAAAATCAACAGCTTGGAAACGGTTGCCAATATGAGCTTGAATGAGAGAAACTCGGGGGTGTGTGTGTGTGTGTGATGACGACGGTCTTGTTCGCGGCGACGTACCGGTCGGCTGGAATGTACAACGGCCTTGGTACAGCTGGGCAGTCGGTAGGGCGCCAAGGGGAGCTGCGGTCAGCATTCTGCGCACCCGGTACTGCATATACCTAGCATCCACACCGGCCAGCGCAAAACACCAGCAGCACGTTCTAGTGTGGAGAAATGGAAGGGAACATGGAGGGAATACAACACAAGCCCAGGATTTCTGGCTGGCGGCCTCTGGAAACCCTGGGCCAGCCGCCGTCTGTCTGCCTGCTGCTTCCCCCCCCCCTCGGCAACTACCACAGCTCAAAAGCATCCTTCTTCTCGCCTCTGCCTGGCGCCCCGTTTCCACCTAGCATGATACATTTCCAGACAATCACAAAGACTCGTGGGACTTGGTATCCTCAGGCTTAATTCGTCGACCACACGTCCGACTCGCGGGCACGCGTCAGCCTCGACCAACCCCGGCCAGCGTCGACGGTTGTGTGACCCATCTCCACAAGAAGGGGCATGTCAAGACTCCCCGATCTGGATCCACCCTGTGTCTGGAGAGGCTGCCGGCAGCGGCCTCCCTATGGGCCAAGCATTTCAAGTGTTGCGACTTTACTGGAGTTTAGCCCCCCATTGACTCGCTAGCCCTGCCTTGCCGCCAATGGGGTAATGATGTCGCGTCTCAAAGCCCACGCTACGTCGTCCGCTCCACGCAGTTAAGACGCCAAGTGTTGCGTTGGATGCTTAGCCATTTCGAAGCTCATCGCCGCGCTGTCTGGACCATTTTGACACCCCAGGCGAACGCTGTGGAACGCAACGCATCCGAAGCCTAAGGCGATTCCCGTTGATGCTGATCTCGCTAGACGCTCGCACCCCCCCCCCAACCCTCCCTTCATCTAGAGTCTCCGTATCACAGATACTTGGCAATTCAGCCCCCCCGTGGAGTGGCTGCCGGGTCGAGGCCCTAGCCACCATTACTTGGCCCCCAGTGTACAGGTGTCGTTCCTTGTATCGGCGCTTGGCGTCGCTCTCCCAGCTTTCGGTGACCAGTACGGTTTTAGTGACAATTATGTCCCTCAACTATTATTATTATTATTATTCTTACTCGTTTGGACGTGTCAATGAGACAAGTACTCGCCATCCCTGTGCTGCTTGCGTCCACGCCCACGACCCCCTTCACTCACGTCTCGACAGTCGATTCCAGAGGCATTTATCCGGGCAAACTTCAACAATGGCTTGGAAGGGCGCAAAAATAGCTTCTCTCTCTCTCTCGCAGCCATTATCAAAGCATGCACCCAGTGTTAAGCCTGAGCCCCCCCCCCCCCCCCCCCCGTCAGGTTCCCAACCCCAGCTCTCGACCCATTTGCTGCAGCAGTTCCATGCATTAGTTCCTGCAACTAGCATTGAGTCCTGCGCCTATCCTTCCTAGTAGTAGTTTTGACCTCACATCAAACAGTGGGAGTATCTTGGCAGTACCGGTCGGGGGAGTAAAGCTCTGCCGCGCCCTACTTGCGGATACTTGGCACAGCTTCATAAAAGTTTCACACTCCCTTGAAGCTGGTTAACCTCCCTTGGCAGAGGCGACCACTATCCATGGAGCCGTGCTACTCTGGCCAACAGTGGCTAGTGTAGACTGAGTATAAGAAGATGCAGAACCCACTTCTTCTGTTCTCCAGTCCGGTCACTCACTTTCACTTCTACACTAACTCTTTGTCATTATTCTCGTCGCCGTGCGACCTAATTAGCTATTTGATCACCCAACTGATTTGCTTTGGAATCCATCCCATCCACCAAAACTACCTTACTACTACTACTACTACAAGACCCTATTCCCACCGGAAAACAAGACATTTAAAATAACTCAAAAAAAAAGTTCAAGATGCTTCCTCAACACCTCCTCGTTGCGCTCGTCGCCACCGTCGCCGCCCTCCCCCTTAACATCAACCTGGGAGCTTATTCGCCTGCCCTGGTAGTCGGTGATGGTGAAATCACACTGGGATCCACAGAATCAGCATCGCAACTCATGGCCACACTGGCCTCGGGAGCCGCAGCAGGAAACGGTGGCGGCGGCGAGAAGCCCCCGGCCAAGGCTGAAGGAGCTGCGCCTGCTGCGCCCGCAAAGCGCTCCATTGCCCGCCGCGCCATCGACCAACTCCTCAAGAGGCGTGTGCCCGTTGAGCCCAAGATGGATGCAGTCGAGGCCGCCATGGAGTGGATCAAGCGGGATCTCGCTGGTTTCAACGCTGCGCTCAGCTTCGCCAAGGAGGCCCAGAAGGACCAGCCCAAGGTCGAGCTGGGCACCGAGAACTCTGGCGTCGGTATCATTGTCAACCCTGGTCTCAACGTCCCCGCTGGTTCTGCTGCTGCTGGTGCCCCCGCCAAGGGCGGCGAGAAGAACAAGCGCGATGAAGTGGTTGAAGAGTCGGATTCGCCCAAGATGACCCTCGTCGCCATCACCGAAGTTTAAAGAGCAATATACCCTACTTATCATCGCAGCGACCACGCACCCAATCAACCGACCAACCCACTTCACACCCATCCTCGCTTCCTTTTTTTGTCCACCCGCCAGAGGATGAGCGATAGACCGCTCTAGGGGAATGCGGAGTCTAGTCATGTCTTTTTCCTTTATCTTAGCGAACATCAGCAATGGTTTTTCTGCAGCTATACTTTGCAGACCAAAAGATGATCATGGAGTTTTTTTTTATCATGGGGGGGAATTCTTTTATATTACTGGTTTGGCATGCATGGCTGCCAGACGCTTGTATTTTACGACAAAACTTTGTGGATTCCAATGCAATTAGTATGTGATCAAACACCATCTTTTTCTTTGTTTTAACTTGTTTTCTCCGAGTTGAGTTTCTCGGACCAGTTCACTGGCTTTTCTTCTTCTTCTTCTTCTTCTTCTTCTTCTTCTTCTTCTTTTTCTGCTTTTGGGACATCTTACCTTGTTTCTAGATTTCGCCTTGCAAACGCCTTCAACGACGACAGCGACAACGATGCGACATACACGTCACCACGGAGAGTACCGGTTTCCTTGCACGGGGTTACCCCGGCCGCGGAATGCCTTTGTTCTTCTCTGCTTCATGCCCTGAAGCCGCATGCCCAGGCAGGTGCCAAACGCTTTCAGCCGTGACAATGCAGAAGGCGACATCCGCCGTCAAGTTTCTGAGAGGTGGCGGCGCCAAGAGATGGAACAAGTCGCAATCGAGTCTCAGTATGGTTGTATGCCGGCTTGGCGGGCATGGAACTGGGGTTTTTGCGCGGAACATGAAACACACTGGAATGGGCGGATTTGCGCCCTATGTAACCCCCCCGCCCCAAAGGACGAACAGTGAGTAAATAGCACACACACATACGCATACACGCAATTGGGCAGCTGTGCGTGCGCGGAACAAGGGGGGAAATTGTGGCGTATACGCGCGGGAAAGTTTCACGGCCCTCGACCCGACATCCATACCCAGAGTACGTAACTAAGTACGTACTTAGGTGCGCCCAAATGCAGGTCGCCTGGACGCCTTGCGATCAACCAGGCATACCAAGAGACAATGCGCTACCTTCTCATTGGCGCGCTCTGTTGCGCCGCCCCTATTTTGCCACTAACCTTGCTCCTCAAAAACTACAACCTGGACCAGATGGACCAGAAAGTCGTTGGCGTTGTTGTTGGCAGCGCAGAGAAGAGGGAGAGGGCGAGGAGATGGAGGTTTTGGCAACGCCGATCGTGAGGTTGGGGTTGTTTCGTATGCCGCACCAGAATCCCACGACGACGGCGTGGGCCGGAAACATCGCACCGTCGTCGACACCAATATAGGACCATGTGGCTTAAGTCGTGAAATTCAGCGTACACTGTCCCCCCCCCCCCCCAGCGTTAGCCACCGTGATCGTCGCTTCAGAAGTTCCCACAAAGCCGCCATGGCTGACGCAACCTTGGATTCAGATAAAAAACCACCACCACCAGGTACTCAGCCAGCTGGGTACTTGGTATAGTCTGCTGCCACTGTGAGACTGCCGTAGATCGTCGCCCAGTCTGCGGCGTTTGCTTCTGGGAGGTACTGCTGAAGCTTTGATGGAATGTACGTCGACCAGATAGCGCCCGAGATTGCTGATCCAACTGCACCACCAACTTCGAGGAGCGTAAGCCACACCGTCGTTGCAGCTGCGACTTGCTGATGTGAAGCCGATGCTTGGACGCCGAGCTGCACTGGTACGTTGAGAAAACCACCGCCGATACCGATGACGATTTGAATGCCCACGAGCGTGGCTGTAGACGCGTCTTGCGTGCGATACGCCAGCATCAGGCCCATTCCAAGGAGGTAAACAGCCGCACCGCAGGAAACGTAGTACTTGTAGTGCGCCGTGTACTTGATCAAGAGCGAGACTGCGACCGACGACACGGTCGAACTGAAGCTGAAGACTCGTGTGATATAGCCGGCAGCAGTGAGAGACTGACCTTGGACGACCTGAAGATACGAGTTGAAGTAGGGAAATACTGACATGTAGAATGCCACTGCACACGATAAGCATCAGGAAAGAGCCAGGACATGTATATACTCACTGAAGTAGAAGAAGGCTATCAAGACACCCGCGATGATGGTTCGCTCTTGGAACAGAGCTGGAGGGAAGAAGGCCACTGGGGCTAGTTTCTTGCTTGTCTCCCATAACGGGAAGAGGAGTAAAAACACCCCGCCGACGACCAGCATAGCAATCATGCTGGGGTTGCTCCACTGGCCGTCAGCATTTGGAGCCAGGGTAAGCGGTAGCAGGATCAATGAGATGGCAGCAGCGAACAGCAGCAGTCCACCAGCGTCAAGATCGAACCAGATATTCTTCGCAACTTGGAAGGCGCTGCTTCCTCGAAACGGACTCGGGACATCGAAGCCCAACTTCTTCGCTCGCCGCTGATTCATGAACAGGCTGGCTGCCAAGGGGACGAAACAAACGGGCAGAATGATAGCCCAGATGCCATATCCCCATCGCCAGATGGTATTATTGAGAATGGCCTGCCCGACCTCTGGCCCAGCCCAAGTCGTCCACAGAAAGGGCAGATCGAACAAGGTTGAGAACAGGGCACGATTCAGCAAGTCGGTAGTGTCTGCGACGAAGATCTGCTGCAAGACCTGGAGTCCATTGTAGCCGATAGACCAAAAGATTTGGGCGCCAGCAAACGTTTGGACACTGTTGGACGCGGCTTGCATGACATAGCCAACCGTGTATAGAAGAACAATAATAGAAAAGGACTCGAGGCGCCCAAAGACATCGGCGATTTTACCTGCCGGGGGCTTGATGACAGCTGCATGGGTGAGTATTTGCAATACACGGATCAGGAATAGCAAAACCTACAGGCTACGACGCCCTGGACCACCGAGACGGTGGAAACTAGCGAATGCGAAGAAAAGGCACTGGTTGCGAATGGCAGCAAGGCGCCCGTGACCTGGATCTCGAGAGAAGTGGCGTTGGCGATAAGAAGAAGGCTGGATGCGGCATGAGTGTGATGACAGAAGAAAGCAACAAGGGAGAAACGCACGAGACGTAGGCGATGACGAGCGACGTCTTTGTCCAGGCCTTGCTCACGGCCTCGATTCGTTTCACACCAGCCTGCGTGGCCAGCCCGCCTGGGTCGTCGCCCGGGAGGCCGTCATGCGTGTATTCGACATGCTTGCCGAATTCTGGGCGGTCCGCCTGGTTCTGAGCGTCTTGGCTGTGGACAGGGCCGCCGTCGGGCGGCATTGACTGTCTCATGGTCGCATTCCACAGAGGCAAAATACAAGTGCGGGAGGAGAGACGCTGCAGGTCCAGGGCGCTACTTTATCTGATCGGCCATGCGTCGCGACGTTGCTGGTGAATGCAGAGGGGGCAGAGCGGCAGCCGTGTGCTATTGGCAGTGCATTTTTCCCGCCAAGGAGGGCGGCGGTATGCCCGACAGGACATTCACCGCGCGGCTGCGGCTGGAGCGAGACCCAGTCCTGTGCGATGACCACATGGCGCGCTAGCATCCCGTGTCGTTGCATGGCCATGGCAGATGGTGTAGGTTGGCGGCCAGCGATACTGACAAGACGCATCTAATCTGATGGTTGGGTGGGAGCGAGACGTCTTGGCGTGAATGCTAGCGTCTTGGCACGCCGAGGCTCCGTCAGGGATGCATTTGAGGTTTTTCTCGTCGTGGCCTGGACCAGCGCTGGCTGTGGCATCAGCCGAGTGTATCGCAAATCCCGAAAACACCCTCTCTCCATGTGTGCACCGCAGCTGTCAGCGCCCAACGGGGTTACGGCCAGAGCCAAGCCTGTGGTGTAAGGAAATACAAGGCTGGCCGAGTGACGTCCGCCATCCCAGAACACCCGATACCACCTCCCGAGCCATTGCCCGGCCACCCGTGCTGGGCGTGCAAGCCGTCAATGAAGGATCCAGGATCATTGTTCCGCCGAACCATCCGCACGCGGGTATCCTCGCCAGCCGCCTCAAGCATCTTGCCAAAACCTACTTGCCCCATGCGTCGCCAACAGCCAAGATAGCCTTGAAACGGTCCCTCAAACATGCTGTCAGGCCGCCACGCCCAAAAATACGGTGTATTTGCAAACTTCTGTGCCGAGCTTAGGCACTGGGCCATACCAGGGGTGAGTGGCGTTTGCTCTCTCTCAACGTCGAGTTTTCGATCATGTTACCAAGGCATACCACCCTGGACTGCAACTATAACGTCGAGTGGAACGACAAGAATTATTACTGACTAAAAGATTAACAAACGACGCGGGGCTGCTCTACCTCACCGCAGGGCAATCCCGGCCAGTCTTCGGGCCAAGACCCCCCGATTATGCCTCGAGCTCCTTGCGCTGTCGTGTCGCTCCCTCACTCCCTTCGCCCGTTACATCGCTATGCTCTTCCTTCTCTGCATTTTCCAGTACGCCACCCTCGCCGCCTGGCGCCGCCTCTTTCTTGAGTGCCAACTCGGGGTTCAATGCTTCGAGCTGCTCTCTCATCTTGCCGCTCATCTCCTCGATGCTGGGCACCACCCAATTTGCGCTTTCCCACGGCTTGACTCCCATCAGGTACATGGTGTCAATCTCCTCGAGGGTACGGCCTTGACCTTCGATGACAAAGAAGTAGACAAGGAGACCGCCGACCACGTTGGTTGCGGCAAAGACGTAGCCGTAGCGGAAGTCGATTGCACCAGTGACTGTTCTGTATTAGTCTCGATATCTCGCTAAGTGAACAAGACTGGGACTTACTGAACGGGGTGAAGAAAGCAAGCAGGAAGTTCCACAACCAATTCGATGCTGTCGACAGCGCCATTGCTTTCGCACGGTAGCGGCTGGGATACAGCTCACCGCAAATAGTCCAGCTGATGGATCGTCAGCTATGCAAACGACATGGAAGCAGCGTCTACTCACATCATCGGGCCCCAGGTGGTCGCAAATCCAAAAATGAAGAAACAGGCGAAGCAGATCATAGCCGTAGCCGCGCTCTCGGTCCGCTGAGGATCCTGGCGATCAAGCGAAAAGTGGCCGACGGAAGCGAAGATCAAGAAGCAAATGAACATCCAGCACGAGCCGGCGATGAGCGACTTGCGGCGACCGTAATGCTCGACAATATACAGCCCGTAGAAGGTGACGCCGAAGTTGATGCCGTTCTACCACTGATTAGCCTCGGACTTGCGCAGCAGCTTGGAGCAGAAGCACTAACCAGGATCATCTGCGTTACGAACGAGTTCTTGATACCGGTACCCGCGAAAACGGTAGTGCCATAGTAGAAGCTGTGAAGCATTAGCGAGTTCCATGCGGATACAGCCGTGTAGCTAACAAGTAATTGGCGCCCGTCAGTTGCTGGAACATCTGCAATCCCATGCCGATGGCGATGCGGTACGCCATCTTGGGCGCTTTCCACATGCCAATCCACTCCTGGATGGGTCCGTTGCTGACTTTGCTCTCAGCCTCTAGCTTGGCCTTCATCTCCTCGAGTTCGAGCTGGACCATGTAGTTGTTCTCAGGCACGCCGTAGACCTTTGTCATTGTCTTGACCGCCTCGTCTACCTTGCCATGGCGGTAGTTGTAGCGAGGTGTCTCGGAAAAGAACAAGATACCGACTGAAAGAATCACAGCCGGTACGAACGAAAGACCCAGGGTGATTTGCCACGAAGCCGCCTTGCCAGACTGGTGTTTCTCAGCCGCATAGTTGAAAACGGCAGCGAGGAAAATTCCAAAAGTAATCATCAGCTGGTACGTTGAGATGAGGGCACCTCGAATATGGCGAGGAGCGGTTTCGGCCTGTACAACCGTTAAATCTCCCTTTCCAACCACAAAATACTGCTGGAATGCATACCTGGTACATGGGCACAAGCAAACTCAGTGCGCCTACCCCCAAACCAGCGACAAAACGGCCCATCATGATCTCATACCACTTGTCTGTTGCCGCGATCTGGACGATGATACCAATGGAGAAGATGCCACACCACACAATGATGCTATTCTTCCTGCCAATGAAATCCGCAATGGGCGCCGCAATCAGCGCTCCAAACAGCGTACCAATCGACAGCAGCGCAACAATAAGACCAGACCGCACGTTAGAAAAGTAGAAAGTGCCGTTTCGGCGTCGCTGGCCAAAGCGCCGCAGGAAGTCTTTCATTTCCAGGAATCCAGAAATCTGACCCGTGTCGTAGCTGTATAGCGTTCACTGGTTAGTCTTGTCGAGGGTATAGTAGCATCCAAGAACAGAAGGACTGGATATAATAAAGAGCGAAGGGAAGTTAAAAAAAAAGGCATGCCATACCCAAACACGAATCCGCCCATCGACACCAAAACACCCATGCCGAGGCCTGCTGCCGTAAAGCGAGGCAGCGGCGTGTTATCATAGCCAGCATGCTCGCCCGCCCACCGCGACGAGTTTTCAACGGAGCTCCTCCGTCTCCAATCCTTGATTGGATTGGAGAACTTTTCTTCGATCTTCTCCATCGAAGTACCAGGTCCAAGATACAGTAAGTATCCTCTCTGTCAATCAAAATATATTAGTCAGAACCAGACACCACCCGATGACCTGGGGTGTATATGTGTCTGTGTCTGTATCTGTATGAGAGACAGGAAGAGAGAGAGAGAGAAGGAGGTAAGCGGAGAATATATGTGAGTGTGAGTGTGAGTATGAGTGGATGAAAGAGTCAAGATCAACACGATTGAGGCTCAAGCAAACGAAACAAAAAAAACCAACCCACCCACCACGTCTTTTATACATATATTAACGTTGGAGGGGGGGGGGAGACCACAGGGTTTGCAGAAGGCCATGGAACGGGGTAGCCGGTCGGATGGCGGGATTCCGCTCGTTCCCTTGTCTGCTGACGAAGTTACATTGGTTGTGTTTTTCCCTCTCTTGCCTCACACACACCCCTCCTACATACCATGCTCAGCGGCGTTTCGATCCAAGCCCATGGGCACGAGATCACGACGCGGAACGGACTGGCGATGGGCGATGGATGGCGAGATGTGTGAGTGTGTGTGGGGCGGATGGGTGCGGATGAGTAGAGAGGGATGACAAAAGCTCCCGATTCGAGTTCTGTATCACGCGCGTGCTACCGGGAATGCTGCTTGCAACACGACGATTGGGTGTTTTTGCCTGCTTTGCTCCGGGGAGCCATGTGCGGAGCGCTCGAACTGGGTAGGTGAGAAAAAAGAGAGAGAGAGAGAAGTTGGGGAAGCATGCACACGCAGGGTTGTATGATGTAGTAGTAGTGGTGTGTGTGTGGGAACGGGGTGGTGGTGGGCCTTAGTTACTTAGTCGACGAACGACTCACGTTCGTCAAGTAATGTACCTAGAGAATTACTTCGTGCTCGTGCTCTGTCTTATTTTTCTTTCTCGCTCCCTTTCTTTCTCTCTCTCTCTCTCTGCATTGCTTCTTCCTTGTTTTCTCACACCATGGGGCCATGATACGATTGATTGTATGCCCGAAACAAACATCAACAAAAAAAATCAATAATAGAGATATGTTCTCACGCCACGCACCGAGAACCCTCCCCCCCTGGTCCACTCTCCTCCCCCCTCTCATACACAACAAGCATGTATACATACACAAGGAACAACGGAAAGGCTAATTCCCAAACACAGAATAAAGGTGCAACATGCATGCATACCATGCCTGTCCATGTGTCGGGAGAAGCAAGCTGCGAGCTGGGGGGGGGGGAGGGTGTAAGAAACCACCCCAAACTGACGTCACACGTCCAGCTTACGCAACCTTCCAACAAGACCCGAAAAATAAAAGGCCCACAGCCAAACGGTCACAATCGTCGCCTCGCAGCAAGCCGTGTAAAGCGGGATTCTAGAAAAGCTTAGCCCGAGGAGCACGACGCTGGTGTACTGGCACAAAGGTCTCCAGGCTTGCATGGCTCGCAGCATCCGCGCGCTTCCGGTTCGAGCGTTGCCCTTACACTGGGGGCACGTGGTTGCCCACATCTCGTGACGCCTTTGGGCAATGCGACTGCACATCATCATGGGTCGAGGAGACGAGTACAAGGGAGGGGTGGTGCAGACCGCCGTGTTTCTGGCATCTTTGTCCGGGGAAACAAAGTGTGTGGTTGGGGAGGGAAGGGGTGGGCGCGGGAATACTACTGTAGTGTGTCGTATGCTTGTGAGATTTTAAGAGGAGGAGAAGGGGGGAGGGGGGAGGCAAAAAAGATACATGGGACTTTATACCGGGTTGGGGGTTACGGATCGTACGGGGATGAAGCTCCGGAGTCTGGATTTGATCGAGTTGTGTTGCTTTGTAGGTTGTATGTAGTTGGTGTGGTGGGTTGTTCCGGGGCAAAGGTAGCCATGGGAATTTGTTGGATTGAGCGGAAAAGGCTGGGTGGGGGAGAGAGGGTAGAGAGGGAGACACTACGTAGTTCCTGACGATGAGAAGGTGTCTGAGTCAGATAATGTGGAGGTTTGGCATCTCGACATGTGGACCCTTCTTTTGGACTGTCGGCCTCGCCTTGTCTCACGCAATCTTCTCGTTTGTAATTGCCTTGTCCGCGGGTCTTCGTGCCTGTTTGCCGATGGCCTTTCCAGGGTGTCTCTGCGTGTGCTTGGGTGTGCGTCGGCGAGGAAAAAAAAGATGGGCTAGGATCCGCGATATTTGGTCCAGCTTCTCTCTCGTGGTTCGATGGCTCGCCATGTCGTGTAGGGGGCGAGTCGTACGCATACGAAAAGTGCCACCTCATTAGCATATAACATGACTTGCCTTTCTGTAAGAGTATACAAGAGCACAAGTTATGCAGCCTCCGTGGAGACCATGGCGATTGTCTGGCATGTAAGAAACGCGTGATACTCATCTTAACCGCTGCAACAGCTATCCAATCAAGACTACGGTAATGTGTAACCCCCGTCGATAACCAGATTCGCTCCCGCTGCCAACACGTCAGTTCCCGTTGCCTGCTTGCTTGGTGCCACGCACACGCAGAGCAGAAGGAAAAGAAGGTAGAGGGGGCAAAACACCGAAACGGAAACTTACTCATGTAGCTGCTCGCATCACTCGCCAAGAAGACATAGGCCCCCTTCAGTTCCCCCGTATCACACAACCTCTTCCCAGGCACCATATCCAGCCACTTCTCCCTCCACTCGCGAGGATGCACATCCAGCATGTCTGTTGCAATGAAGCCCGGAGAAATGCAATTGACGCGCGCAAAATCCACCCACTCGACGCTCAGACAGCGCGCAAGCTGGACGACGCCCGCCTTTGACGCATTGTAGGCGGCCTGTTTCTGCGGCAGGTTGACGAGCATGGCCGACACGCTGGCGGTGAAAATGACGTTGCCGTGGCCCTGGGCCTTGAAGATGACGCCCGCCGCCTGCGCCGTGTAGAATGCGCCGTCGAGGTTGACGGCCATGATGTGGCGCCATTCCTGTTCGGTGTAGTCCTCGGCGGGGTGGTGGTTTGCGATGCCAGCGTTTGCAACGACAATGTCGAGGCCGCCAAAGTCGGCGGCGACGGTGTTGATGACGCGGGTGATTTCGTCCTTGTTCTCCACAGCCGCCTTGTACGCTTTTACCTTGACACCCGTGTCGGCGGCAATCGAGTCGGCAATGGCGTCGGCGTCCTTGGTGCTCGAGTACAGCACCGCGACGTTTGCGCCCGCCTCGGCCAGCCCCCTCGACGCTGCGAGCCCAATGCCCCGGACGCCGCCTGTGACGACGGCCGTCTTGCCCTTGAGCGAGAACTGAGATGTGACGTGGGCGTCGGTGTTGGCTGGTTTGGCGAGCGGCATTGTGACGGGTAAGCGGGGATTCAAGAAGGAGGAAGAAGAAGAGGAAGAAGCGTCGAGCTGGCAGGACGAAAAACAACCGCTACGAGCTTGATGAATCGGGCCATGGAAAACGGAAGATCGCCGATGCCCATTAGTCTTCGGAGTGGGTGTACCTGTTCTGCAGCCGTATCGTCTCTTTGTGGAGTAGCATGGCATCAGTTGGGCCGTTGAAGCGCCCGCCCCGCATAGGGGAGACGGTTGCCCTTGACCCCAGCACCCCCCACAGTGGTGCTCTACAGCACCCGAAATCTGCCCTTTCATGCTGGATACAAGCATACAAAAATGGCCTTGTCCAATTCATCAAGTCGCCCTAGTCAATTGGGATACTTACCAAAATGGCGTCTGCAACAACAACAACTGAAAAGGTTTGCCGTGTTAATTGCCATGTACTCATTTCCTCCCCCAGCTAACACACCCACCAGAACCCAGCCTTTGTCTTGCGCGCCGTCCAAGACGTCGCCTTTGAAGACCGCGAAATCCCCAAACTCCGCGACGAGCATGAAGTCCGCGTGCATGTCGCGCAGACGGGAATCTGCGGCAGCGACATGCACTACTGGCAGCGGGGCCGCATCGGGGATTTCGTGCTGAAAAGTCCTATTATCCTAGGCCATGAGAGCTCTGGCACCGTCGTCGAGATAGGGTCTGCCGTGACGAACCTTAAAGTAGGGGATCGCGTAGCTATTGAGCCAGGTGTGCCGTGCCGCCGCTGCGATTACTGCAGAGCTGGCTCGTATAACCTCTGCAACGATACCATTTTCGCGGCCACCCCGCCGTGGGACGGCACGCTGGCCAAGTACTACACCGTTGCGAGCGACTACTGCTACAAGATCCCCGACCACATGGACATGGAGGAGGCAGCGCTGGTCGAGCCCGTTTCCGTCGCCGTACAGGTCTGCAAAGTCGCGGATTTGCGTGCGAACCAAACCGTCGTCGTATTCGGCGCAGGTCCTATTGGAGTACTCTCACAGGCCGTAGCCAAAGCCTCAGGGGCGAGGAAAGTAATCGCCATTGATATTTCACAGGCACGACTCGACTTTGCCAGGGCATATGCCGCGGACGGTGTCTTCCTGCCGCCCCAGGCCAAAGATGGAACGGATCCTATTGCGCATTCCGAAGCGATTGCAGCATCCATCAAGGAAAAGTTTGAGCTTGGTGAAGGCGCAGACATCGTGCTGGAATGCACTGGTGCCGAGTCATGTATCCAAGCCGGCATCAACGTAGCAAAGAAAGGCGGCACCTACGTCCAGGCTGGCATGGGCAAGGAGGTACATCTACCAGTCCAGCACGCGTTAACATCGAATTGCTGACTATGATGTTTAGAACGTCGTTTTCCCCATCACAACAGCGTGCATCCGTGCCCTGACCATCAAAGGCTCTATCCGATACTCAGTCGGATGCTACCCGACAGCCGTCGATCTGGTGGCGTCGGGCAAGGTCAATGTGAAGAAGCTCATTACAAACCGATTCAAGTTTGAGGAGGCGGAGCAGGCATTTGAACTGGTCAAGGCTGCAAAGGAGGGCGTCTTCAAGGTAGTCATAGAGGGTGTACAGTAGACATGGACGTGCATGGAGACCGAGGGTCATAAACGGTCTTCCGAATACACTCGCGGATCCGTCGAGATTGACGGGATTCTGTACTTGTGATAGACTGCAATGACATGTCTAGTCAGCAACGACATGTCCAGTGCAATTGAACCTGCTGAAACAGCCAAAACCATAACCACAAGCAACAACCGCGATCAGAAACATTGCGTCATTACCCACAGGGCCAGATCCGATGGTCAGCCGCTCTCGATGCTCGGCGCTCGATGCAAACGTAGTGAGCATCGCATGGGTGAGTGTGCTCCGTAACGAGGCTTGCATTGCATGTACGACACGGTTAGCGTTGGGGTGACAGTCGCCCGCACCCACAGCATGACTCGTGCATCATTTACCCCAGGCCGCCCGCTCGCCATGGCTACTACTAGCAACCCGCATTCCGCTATTACAATGAACCGCTGCCTGGAAACCTGGGGAAATGGGCTTTGGCGTGCCTGATTCTCGGGGTACCCCACAGTTTCGGCTATGTTGACGTGAATGTGTGTATATAACCAAGGCGGGGGAGTCCCGTTGACCTGCGTATAAAACCAAGACGTGGATGGGGTCTCCATGCACGTATATTCTTGCTGGATGACCAGTACTCAATCCTCTTGATACATATAATTGTATTCGTTACGACGAACCACGGGCAGCCATGAAGGATGCGGATATCGTTGGCCACGCCATTGCGGACGTGCTACCGCAGACGGACAAGTACTGGTTCCAGATTCCGCACTTGCGGCGCCTGAATCTGATCTTGCTGGTGCCACTGCTGTCGTCGGCGGTTGCAGGATATGATGGTGGGGCATCCCAGCTTTCTCGTGGCTTTTTGGAGTTTTGATACTGACGATGGCTAGGCTCGTTGATGAATGGCCTTCAGTCTCTTCCGCAGTGGCAGGAATACTTTGGAAAACCGACCGGCGCCCTTCTTGGACTTGTTAATGCAGCGCAGTCTGCTGGTTCGGTGGCTGTGTTGCCTTTTGTCGGCATGCTGTCTGATCGTTACGGGCGACGTATTGTCCTGCTTAGCGGTCTTATTGGCGTCATCGTCGCAACAATCATACAAGCGACCGCGACGACCCTGGCACAATTCATCGTCTCCAGGGCTGTCGTTGGTGCGGCGGGTATGTTCGTTGTTCAGCCGTCGCCAATGTTGATTGCGGAGCTGGCATATCCCACGCACCGGGGCAAATACACCAGTGCCTTCTGGACCATGTATTATCTCGGTGCCATCCTGGCAGCATGGACAACGTTCGGGACCCAGGTCTACCCTGGTAATTGGAGCTGGAGAATACCAACTATCCTGCAGGCGGGCTATCCACTGATCCAGCTCGCCTTCTTCTGGACATTGCCGGAATCTCCCAGGTACGTATTCATGACTACACCCTGCTCGCGAGGAATAGCTAACGAGATGCGGTAGATGGCTCGTAGCACAAGAGCGCAACGACCAAGCACGCGAAATCCTGGCACGGTACCATGCTGGCGGCGACGAGCACAGCCCTTTGGTTACACGGGAAATGAGTGAAATCGTCTCTGCCATTCGACAGGAAAGTGCAGCAAAGTCGATACAATGGTCAGCGCTCATCGCAACTCCTGGAAACCGGAAGCGACTCTTCCTTGCCGTATGCGTGGGTGGATTCGCCCAATGGAACGGTATCGGCGTGGTATCGTACTACTTAACGCTAGTCTTGGACTCGATCGGTATAACAGATGCATTCATGCAGACGCTCATCAATGGTCTCTTGCAGATATTCAACTTTGCTGCAGCTGTGAGCGCAGCACTCCTCGTCGACCGACTGGGGCGACGCACCCTTTTCCTGTGGAGTGGTATCGGCATGCTGATTTCGTACATTGTCTGGACAGCATGCTCGGCTGTAAATAACCAAGAGAACAACAAAGCGGCAGGATACGTGGTGGTTGTGTGTCTCTTCATCTTTTATTTCCACTACGACATCGCATACACACCGCTCTTGATGAGCTACCCGACAGAAATCTTTACTTATAGCCTCCGGTCCAAGGGCATCAGCTGCGAGCTCATCTCCATCTACGTCTCCTTGGTCATCCAGGCATTCGTCAACCCGATAGGGATGGAGAACCTCAGGTGGAGGTACTACATAGTCTTTTGTTGTCTGCTGCTTGTCTTCTTAGGCGTTACGTATTTCTTCTTTCCCGAAACAAAAGGTCGCAGTCTTGAGGAAATTGCCGAGATTTTTGACGGACCGGGAGCATCGCCTGACGCCGACCTTGTCAAGAAGGAGGACTTTGGCAAGCAGCATATCGAGGTGGTTTAAAGCATCGCAAATGGAATCTGTGTGATATTCAAACCTTGGGCTGACGAGCGGAGAGAGTGACACCGTATTTCACCCCCAGGGAAATTGTGCCTCACTAAATGCATTGGATCCGCTTGGGTTTGGTTCTCCTGCGTTGTCGACATTCGGAAGGAAATCAGCCCATATCCCCCTCTGTATGAGTACATCCACTTCTGCGTCATTCGCATTCGGCCACATCATGCTGTAAACATTGTTGATCTGAGTGTGCGGAGATTCCTCAGTAGGATGTTCCAATAAAACACCATCAGGGGTCGTGAGCGCATGTGCATCCTGCGCAGCCATCTGGGGTTGCAAAAACGGACCGCACAGTCGTTCAAGGACGTTCAGACAGTCCTGTGCGCTCGGATTGATTGTTGCCAAGTGCTGCATAGTCCGCATCGTCTGGCTGATCTGCGCACGCCAGTTTCCGGATGACGGTGCAGTAGGCTCGTTGCGCAAACAAACACAGGGTATGAGCGATGCTTGGAACAAAAAGTACAATGCATACCACGCAGCCATTCGCGATGGTGACGTGTTGGCCCAGAACGTACTGATGGCGCTGATACTTTCATTAGCTTCGCGGAGACATCTGGCGTAGGCCTCTTGCACTGCTGACGGCACTGCATCGTCACCAACGTGTGACCTTGCTTGGAGCACGCGCTGAATAACGTAAGGCCGATACATGATGATTCTGAAGTTGCTCAGTCGCCACCACATAATGGCATGGCCAGTTGCGAACTGAGGAGGTATGATCGCATCACGGCGATACCAAACAGGCACTGACGACTCCCATTTCCCTATCATTGTATCGTCGAGACGAACAAGCTCGGTGGCTGCTGGGAACGGCATTGAAATGACTTTTGTGTAAATGTCATTGGCCAACAGATGAAACCTCGACTGCATGATGACGGCACTGAACGTTGTGATATGGTCCGCCTCACTCGGAGCTGTGCGGGATAAGTTGGTCAACGCTCTGTCGGAAACGTTAATGGGCAAATGGACTTCGACATTCCTGTTGGGCCAAGCCAGTGGGCGACCAAACGTGACGGCAGCGCCTATGTTGAAGACGAACATGGACCACCACACGCGCCGGCGAATCTCCATGTTCAGCGGGGATATGTCCCAGTGATGGAATTCCTTGTGCAGCCCCAGGCCCATTGCCATGTGAAGGGCCAGGCCCAGGTAGTTGTACCCACTGTTGGGCTTGTTCCGCTTCTGCAGATAATTTGACATGAGCGTGAGGGTCTGTACGAGGGTGATGTTGCCCACCTCGAGGCTCTCGATAGACAGATTGGACACACATCACACACCAACGTCAAGTTTTCTAGAATAGGTGTAATTTTCGTTAAATATATACAAATCCCTTACAAGAAACTAATTATAGCAAGTTTTAAGACGTGCAGCGTGCGCGCTGTGGAGCTATAAGCTATAAGAGCAGATAGTTGAGACACGTCTTACACTCAAAACAAAAACACACACACACACCAACTTTTAAGCAGAAATCTTTCATCAAAACTCGTCAATTTTCTATCAGATATAGGGGTAACACGTCGCGAGAAACCGATTTACGCCACCTCTAATGTGTGCAGCCCTCTCGTTGAGGTGCTAGAGGGGGTATTGTCGGTATTCTTGCGACGTGTTCGAAATGCGAAAATCTTCGAGAACGCACAGACCGCCCCGATGACTAATAGGGAGACTACCAAACGAAACCAAAAACAATTAAAAACACCAAATAAAACAACAAAAATCAAAAATCCTATATCTAAACGCCGAGACAGCCTGATCCCGCTGTGGCACCATATCCAACCGCCAGGACAGTCTTTGCCTACTGTGGCACAAAATTCAAAAACGCTATAACAGTTTTCTGGTCTGTAATAGCAAAATAAGTCGAAACGCCGAGACAGTCTTCGCCTACTGTGGCACCAAATCCCAAACGCTGAT